TAATCCTGTAAAGGAACCCTAATCAAGGTACGTACCCCTAACTTTCGGAAGCTCCCATATAAGAAGTCCAGAAAAAGGATTTCGTGTGGCGCGGCCTCCTGCGCTTTCGCCGACCTCTCGGTGGTCTCCAGGACATCATCGCCTAAGGGCATTAGAGTTTCAAGGGTTCTAGGGTTTTTTCCCTCCTACCTAGCAAGGACGAAGCCCGCATTGCAGGGTGTTTAGGTTGAACAGTTGTACAAGGTTCTAGGGTTTAGGAGTTAGGGTTTAGATAGGGTTTGGGGTTTAGGGTTACAGGAATTAGCGTTTCAAGGGTTCGAGGGTTTAGGGGTTGCGGATCAAGATGAAGAGGCAAGAGTGCCCTTACAGCCCATACTGCCATACTGCCTGTTTGTTGCGCCAATCTCCTCCCAACAGACGAGACCTCAACCTCGTAGCCCTCAGCTCTCTAGAGACTCTGCATACCAAGGCCAAGTCCCAGCACTAGCTGCTGGTCCCGACACGGCTGCCCCTTGTACATTCAGCCACAGGTCGAAACATCCTGAAACCCTAAACCGTCTTTCTCCCGTAAGCCCTAAACTCCTAAAAACCTGAAGCCCTGGCCCAAGCCCCTAGACCCCAAAATGAAAAGCTCCAGCATATGGGGGGTTTCCGAAAACAGGGGATGCTAAGTAGTACCCTAAATAGTAGGATCCTTATTATAAGGACCCCCAAATAAGGTACCCCTAATTTTTGGAAACTCCCATAATCCTACACCCTGAAGCCCTGAGCCCCCAAAGGCTAAATCCCCCTCGATCGACTCGAGTCTTTGTGGAGGAAACAGCGAAGCCCTGGAAAGTACGCCTCGAATCAAGGGTTTGCTATGGTCTTATCCGATTTATAGCCATAATAAAAATGAGTAGAATACGAATGACCGCACTATGAACCATCATAACCACAGTCATAAAAACCATTCCACTTCCATCAAGATGCAGAAGAATAATCAGAACAATGAAAGGCATAATGAAAATGACAACACAAGAAGAATAGAACTAGTCATCAGGGTAATTTTAATAGTGCCAACAGAAGTAAGAATGATAACAGTACTCATAATACTAATAATAATAATAATAACAATAAACAAGTGATGCCAATAATACTAAACGTGCTAATTCAGAACCGGACGCATTGCAGGCGCATTTTCACGCTTTATAACATAAAACCGTGTGACATATCATATCCACTATTAATGCCAATGATGGAAACTTCATTGAACGCTGTTGATGATATAAAAGCATACAAAAAGCATCAAACACATCCCCGGACATACTGCGCTGCAGTGGCCAACAAAGGGTTGATGCTATCATGACAACTGGCAACAGGGCGTCTGAAATGTCAACAGCGGTGCTGGCGGTGCTAGTGGCGGTGCGGTGAACTGATGGTGAACTGTAACAACCAGTTAAACACACAGCAAGATTCACGTTAGATTTTGCAAATGCTTCTACCGGGGGGCAATGGCTACATCAACCGCTCGACGTACGGCGGTGATCAACCAAGCTGCCCTGTGTTGTGAGTTTGTCCAGGTCGGTGCGCATGGACGCCAGCATCTTCTCCAACGTCCTCGGTAAGCCCAGACTACACCAACCTTCTCCTTAAAACCCTGACGCCGTAAAGGCTGTAAAGCCTGAACCCTTACGCCACTGTTCCGACCCATACGCATCTCGCTCAGGTCTGGTGTTCAGTTTCCGGGTTGAGGATTTCAGGCTTTCAGTGCTTGGGGTATAGCGGTTAGTTGACATAATCAGCATGCACAACTGCCGTGAAGCCAGTGTATGCCCGGAAAGCATGTGTGTTTGAAGCCGTAAACAGCTCAAAGACCCTTCGATTGGGTTTTCGGGCCTAGAGTTCGTAATATGGGGCTAGAATGGGGTCTTGGGGTATATCATGCTGTATATAACGAAAATGAAGAAGCCTCAAAACGGTATAGGCATTGATTAAGGGCCCTAAAGTGAGGCCTTGGGGTGGCAGGTTGAGAGTTTTCGTGTCTTGGGACTCTGCGGTGTACAGCTGCTGCCGGTGCTACTACTACTACTACTACTACTACTACTACTACTACTACTACTACTACTACTACTACTACTACTACTACTACTACTATACTACTACTACTACTACTACTACTACTACTACTACTACTACTACTACTACTACTACTACTACTACTACTACTGTTACTGCCCATTCAACAATCCAACTGTGTAGAAACCCATTATCAATGTCAAAAATAGGATCCTAATTTGCGCATGGGTCGAGGCATGTCTCTTCGAGTTTCTGTTCAGAACACACGATCCGATGCTACGTCTGCAACGCCGAGCTTCTGCTCCTGGGCCTTGGTAAGGACATCAGTTGCCGAGTCCACCTGCGTCAATGAGTTTGAGACCCTTTGTTTTTTTGAGCTTCCTTTTGTGGCATTGATTTTTTTTTGAACCCTCTTTTCCTGAGTTAGGTTAGTGTGGCGTTGGGTTTGGGGTCTAGGGTTTAGCGTTTGAGGGGCTTTGGCATTTTGGGGTTTCCGGTTTCAGTTTTCAAGCTGCTTAGGGCGTTGGAAAGTCTAAGGTGGGGTGTTGGCTTGAGAGTTTTGGCATTTAGGGCTTAGGCTTTTGGGTGGTCTGTAGGTTCCCTGAACAGCTCAGTGAAGGCAAGGAACCTTCAAGGAAGCTTGATGGAATCTAACCCTACTCTCCCAACTCGGTGCTCTTCTAAGGTCCAGGAACGGAATGGTGTTCAGGGTTTAGAGGAAATTCGGCCAAGAAGCACAGACCCAACAAAGGCAAGATCCTATCCGAAAGCCTTGCTGTTGCCATGCAGCCTGCTTGTTTCTGTGTTTTTCAGCGCCAAACTGTCTGACTTGAGTTTAAACGCCGTACCAAAAGTTCTTTGAATTTTTTTCGAAAAACCCAGCGCTGAAATGACGCAGAGTTCGATGCGCATATCGCCGTGTTTGAAAAAGAAAATTCCGGCTCATACAGGAACCCTAAGTTGAGGCTGTAGGTTCCTTACTTGAAGGCTCATGGGACTTAGTAAGTAAGGTTAGTTATAAGTAGGGATATAATTGGGGTAACTCCATTTAAGGCACTTATTACTCTACTTATAACCTACTTACTAAGTCCCCTGCCTTTCCAAGTAGGGCCACAAGCCAGTCTCAGGACTTCCCGGCCCCTGAAGTTGCCGCGGGCCTTCGGTAATAGAAGGGCCTGAGTAACTCCTAGGTGGGGCTTTCAGGGTTTAGGGTTTAGGGTTTAGGGTTTAGGGTTTGAAAAATATTAGTAAATAAGATCCTCTTAAGCCCTTAAGCCCAATAAGGGGAAATCTAAAATGCCCCAAAGCCCTACCTAGGCTAGCACAGTTTCCTGGGAATACCCCAGAGGCCCAATACCCCTTAATTAAGGGATATACCTGAAATCATCAGGGGCTTCATATTATGATTGAAACTCTATTACTTAAACTAGGGGGTGTTGGGCTCTCTGGGACTATACTTTATGTAAATGCATAACGGCTACGAGAGGATGCTCGGCGCCAGCAGCCCCACAAAGTCCTTTACTGGCCCCTTCCCCCTTCAGGCCTATAGAGCCCTGAACCCGAAACCCTGAAACCGTTCTGAGGCGCCTTTCGCCCCAGCGCGCCCTCCACTTCCACCAGGCGGCGTTGCGTAAACTCATTGCCCGAATCGACCTTCGAGCTGCAGATGATTTAGGGATGTCAGGCCCAAGGGACGTCGGATTTGAGGTTTGGAAGTCATACATACCGGGAGAAGCTGAATGTAGTTGCCTTGCTGAAGACGGCAGGCTACGGCAGGCTACATTGTGTATGATTCGACACCCTTTACTACGGTTTGGGTTTAAGGGTTTACTGGGCTTCGGAGTTTCAGGCTTTGGGGTTTAAGGGCCCTATTGAGACGAACAGAGCTTTGCTGGGTCTTGACTTCCTGTAGGAAGAGAGACCCAGAGAGCCCAATACCCCTCAATTAAAAAATGGCCTAAATCATAATATGAAGCCCCAATGATTTAAGGTATATTCCTTAATTAAGGGGTATTGGGCTCTCCGGGGACTGTCAAAGAAACACAATCCCAAAATCCTAAATGCCTCTGATCCAAAAGGTCTGTCCTCGCGGCACCTTCCCTTCTACCTACTTGTCGGGTATCATAGGGAATTAACGGTTAACCTTTTTGGTTATTTAGAGATTATATCGGGACTATACTAACCAAAAAAGGTACTCTACTACTAGGTCTAGGGTGATTCCGCGCCTTCTTGGCCAAGGACGTCTGTGCTTGCGCGACGGTCTGGAGCACATTGTGCGAGTCATTCGTCTGCTTCAGTAGATCCTGGTTTCGTTTTTGAGGCTGGCGGCGACTGCGACGACGACGACTACTGCTACTCCTACTCCTACTCCTACTCCTACTCCTACCCCTACTCCTACTCCTACTCCTACTCCTACTCCTACTCCTACCCCTACCCCTACCCCTACCCCTACCCCTACCCCTACCCCTACCCCTACCCCTACCCCTACTCCTACTCCTACTCCTACTCCTACTCCTACTCCTGCTCCTGCTCCTGCTCCTACTCCTACTCCTACTCCTACTCCTACTCCTACTCCTACTCCTCTCCCCCTCCTACTCCTACTCCTACTCCTACTCCTACTCCTACTCCTACTCCTACTCCTACTCCTACTCCTACTCCTACTCCTACTCCTGCTGCCTGTCCCTCGCCTGCTCCTCTGCTGCTGCTTCTGCTACTGCCGCCACCACCACCACCACCATCTACTACGAGTATAGGTCGACGCCGACAACGGCGTCGACCGCGACTACTACTGCTGCTACGACTGCTAGCTCTATCTGACACACTCGCGTGTTTGGCCGCATTCGTGCTTCAGTTCCTGTGATTCTGGACGGTGAATCAAACACCCAAACACCGAACAGCACTTGCTTAAGCAGAAATAAGCAAAACAAGTCCTGCTGCGTGGCATCCAGCTTCTGCAGTAAGGCGGAGGATGAGGTGTTCACGGTGTCCAACAATGCCTCAGCAGGCAGTTGTCTCGTGCTTTGATGCCTCAGATTCTCATTGGAGCTTCATCGGGACGGCTACACACTTCCCCCTTGGCCTTGAACACCCTGAAGCAAAGGCTCGCAGCGCTCGACCCCATAGCTCACCTACACCAGTGCCGAATCGTACGGAACATAAACCTAAGGGCAGCAGCAGGTTTCAGCATGGCACGTCAAGTTTTGCATGAAACACATACATGCATGCATACATTCCTACAAGTACCGATCTACCAACCCACCTAGTGCGTACATGACATGCTCGACGTGACGTTGCGGCGGCCTGTTTGGTGCTGTCGCTGGCGCCGTCGATGTTTTTGACCAGGCCAGCGTACGAGCTGACCTCAGAGCTTACAAGGCTGTGGTTGACGGCTGTTTGAGGCTTGCTTTGGTTTAGCGTGGTCGGTTTACTCTGGTCTATGGTCAGAAAAATGGATGGTTCAAGTATGATCTGGCGTAGGGCTTCTTAAAGGACCCAGAGAGCCCAATACCCCCTAAGTAAGGAATATAGCTTAAACTATTAGGGGCTTCATATTATGATTTAAGCCATATTCCCTATATGATTAAGGGATCTTGGGCTCTCTGGGGAGGTGCCAGGCCAGCAGTTCGCCTCCTTTGTGCAGTGGGTTTCAGGGCTTGGGGGCATGGGTACCAGCATCTTTTTCAAGACAGACGCAGGGGATTTCCTGCACTAGGGGTCCGCCCTCTGTGGGTTAAGGGCCAAAGTAGGGTTCGAGATTTTGGTGCCTTGCCGGGGTATCTGCTTTTTTGCGATCTGCAACCCTACAAAACATCAGACTCTCAGCCTGGCTGAAACTCTGGAGTCTCTTTAGCCGAAGCGGGGAACTAAGGCTGTTCAGTACCCCACTGGGAAACAGGATATACTTATTTTAGGCTTCTTATTTTAAAAAAAAGGAACCCAGAAACCTGAAAGTAAAAAGGTGTACCACTGACCAACCTGGGGAATGCGTCACTGGAACGCGGTAGACCATTACCCTTTTTTGAACCAGTGCTGAGGCGAACCCTGAAGCCCTCAACTCCCCCCCCCCCTCTCTCTCTCTCTCTCTCTCTCTCTCTCTCTCTCTCTCTCTCTCTCTCTCTCTCTCTCTCTCTCTCTCTCTCTCTCTCTCTCTCTCTCTCTCTCTCAGGCATTCGAAACGTCAAGCACGGCTGTAGGACACAGCTCTCAACCCTAAAAACCCAAAACCCTCGACAGCCATGAACCCTACGCCCACCTCGGAATCCGAAACCCTCTTCCAAATAAGGCCGCTATAGTAAACCACCATAGTATCCCTTCCCTTTAACGGAATTCTACCTGTTAAGGCCCTCATAAAAATTCTACCTGTTAAGGCCCTCATAAAAAAGCTCGGAAAGTCAAATGGCCATCTGGTCTACCGTGGTTTTCTGGGTGTCCATCTTCTGCATCACCGTCTCCTGAACATTGGTTGAGGGTATAGGCCTGAATACGGTTTTCGGTTTCGCATTGGCTTGGATATGGCTTGGTATTTAGAGTTTCTAGCAGGCTTCATACGGGTGGTATGAGGCGTACGAGGGTTCGATGGGAGTTCGAATAAGAGCGTAAATTAAAGAAGGGCAGGGCGTATAGACATGGCTTTAAAGCCTGTGAAAACATCTCTCAGCTAAGAACTGCACCCTGAGGCATATTCAGGTTTCCTTGATGATCTGGGCCGCGCTCCCCTTTAGTGCATTAGGGTGTCTCTATTTCAGGGAGAGAGCACTTACTGTACTTTCTCATATTCCCGAACCGATGCACCAAGTGTGAATCCCGAAAGATCCCGTGAACTTTGAACCCCAAATATGTAATGTAGATGTCTTCATGTTCCAGCATGGCTTGTTGTATAGTTCTACACGGACTGTACGGGACAACTCGTACTGAGTATACAGACCCACCATATTCAGCTCAAAACTTCGCGTCCTGTGATGAGTCCAGCTTGTGGAGCAACACTTGGCAGGCATTCACGGTCTGCAAAAGTGCAACCTCCGAGTCCCCCCAATCGGAGGGCTGCTTACGAGTCCAGTACCCTGCATGGGGAAACAACGTGAACTTACGCAGGGAATATGATACCCCCAAAAAGCTTCAAAGCTGGCTACTCTCCTGCGAATCAAGGCTGATGTAGAGTTTCACTCGGAGGTTGCGTAGGCGGTTTGGGGGTTTAGGGGTTGGGGACATAGCAGCTAGAAAAAAGTCACAGTTTAGCGCCTTTGACCTTGGAAGGGTGTTGGGTTTCGGGACTTTCCCTACCTGTAATAAAGTGGCCTTAATAATTTGAATGAGTTTGTGTGGTATATTACACCATAATTCTGCTAAGGAAGGCTCACAAAACCAAACGGAGGAGCGGTTTCGGTGTTTGGACTAGAGGTTTGCGGGGATATTACACTACGACTAGAATGAGGAGCTTCACGGAACGCCACTACTATTCCTGCAGGCCCCTGAAGCCTAGACCTAAGAGAAACCTAGGAATAAAATGGGTGCCATTTTTGGCTTAAAGTGTGTTATAAGGGAACCAACCTAAACCCAAAAAAAGGGAATAAGGGCATACTCTGGGAAAGCCTGAAAAAACACGAACAGCATGCTGGTTCGCCGGGCTGGAGGTTTAGGGCTGGGCCAGGGCGCCCAGTTGTGCAAAAACGACAACAATGAGACGAGCATTAAGAACGAACAGCAACGATCGTGGCAAATCAGCATCTAGGAGATGTTCCCCATACTCCAATCCCGAGCCTCAGTCGAAATCACACTACTGTCAGCAGCATGTTCACGGTGAGTACCATCGGTGCACTCATTGTGATGGCTATCTTTGCTTATGCCTTCTTTGCGTTGTAGTAGCACAACAGGTAGTTGCAGAAGCCGCTGTCGCGGTAGTGGGCTTCGCCGTCTTGTAACAGAGTAATATACGTCAATGGCCACAGCAACCCTCGCCCAAAAACCCAGTCCCTAGACCATGCACCCGAAAAAACGCCCGAAACACTCACACGCACTCAAATAGAAAGCCCCAAGCTGAGTCCAATTCCGGAGCCTGCGAGAAATCCATGCGCTGGGAGATCGCTTCCTGCATGGAAGAAGGATGAAGAAAGTATGAGAAACTTCTGTAAGGGTGCCATGAACTGCTCCCAAGCCGCCTTCCTCCCTTGCTTGTAGATGCAGGAATGTCGGCTCGAAGACGGAGCCCAACCTCAAACACCTTATACGCACCCCAAACCCGTGTACAATCATGAACTCAGGGCTCACGGGCGGGGCCTTGCATGCCGACATGTTATCAAAACACAACGGAACCGTGGACCAAACCACTGTCAAGCTAAAACTTCTCACCCCGCCAATTCTCAAGAAGACAGTGGGCAATTCTTGAACTTTAAAGAGCAGCCCGTTTAAGACGTTGTCTTGAAAGACCTAGCGGGACATCTTGAGACAAACTCTGAGGCCCCGCTACTTTCTAGGGATCTAAACAATTAGTAACACCATCGCCTTTCCATCCTGATATACAGACCTGCTATACTAGAGTATACCCCCGGCACCCTACTCCACTCCTGTGTGGTCTCCAGCTGCCGTTGCAGGTTGTCCTCCATGGCCTGCCTGGGCGAAAGCTTTTTGGAGTCTACGGAGATCGCCGTTCTTGAGAAACACGGCTTATGAAAAAGTCTTCATCATCATGGAAACAAGAACAGTAGTAAACAGATGTACATGTACGTATATGCGACGGCCGCATAATAATCATGACCACAAACTTGAGAAGGAAACAACAGTAGCAACCAAACCTGATAGTAGTCGCGACAAGGATAACAATGACAATGATGATATTATTGCTTGGGTCCCCTTTTGGGGGAGTCTTCACATGTCTTCACGGTAAGGGTCTTTGCCTCTGTCGTTGAGATGAAAGCTGACAGGATCCGCAGCCCCAACCTTCAACTTTCAGACGAGAGGCAAGCGAGACAGAACCAGGTCCTGCGTCAATGGGGCAGTGCTTCTTGCGAAAATTAGCTTAAGCTGCACTGCCAGGGAAAGAAAACACACGAGTCGCCGATGTCTGTTTTGTTTCTGTGTATGCACGGAAGTAGAAGTCGCAGCCCGCACGTGTTTCACCGTTCGAAGTGTTGGGGTTTAGTGTGTCGGGCTGTGCGGGGTCGTGTTTAGGGTTTGGGGTGCCCTAGACCCTAAACCCTACCCTAAACCGTTCTAGAAATCGCAAGGCATCCCGGAACCCCATGCCGTACACCTTACTTTGCAAGCGAGCTGAGCAAAGCGTGCAGAGTAGAGACCTCAAACTGCTGAGCACGGATACCACCTCCTTCCCTTGTCCCTTTTTTTGCAGTTCTCGTTGTCCAACAGCCCGGTTTGGCCAGACACACACACCCCTGACCAACAGCCATGTGCAAACGCAAACCCGTCCAAATAGCCAGCCAGTCTTGAACGAGGTCTCTCTGAAATTTGTCCCAAAACCCTTTGCTGCAGGCTTGCTTGCAAGGGCGTCCGCCAGTTAGGACTGTGCCCCCCCGAACCCTGAGCCCGGTTCTGTAACTCTAAGCCCGTGCTCTTCTTGGTCCGATCCTGCAGAGGCATCAGGGCCCGATTCATCGTCGCAAGCATCTGATCCTGTCCGGCTTAAAGGGTTTAGGCCGGTTTAGGGGCTTTCGGGTTCGCATGGGCGGTCGGTGAAATTATCTAGGTGAGGAGAAACACATCGAAGAGTGTCTTGTGCAGCTGTCTCAGGAATCGGGTACAGATAGACGTAGCACGAGGTTGAAAAAAACGAGTTATAGTTATGGTACTAGTGGTCGTTGTAGTAGTAAGATGGGAGGGGGAGGAGGAGGAGGAGGAGGAGGAGGAGGAGGAGGAGGAGGGGAGGAGGAGGAGAGGAGAGGAGGAGGAGGAGGAGGAGGAGGAGGAGGAGGAGGAGTCCGGGCGACGCCGCCGTCGTGGTCGTGGTGCCATGGACGGACTATAACTACAGCGAGAAACTGGGAGTGAAAAGAAGAGCGGGTGTGAGAGGAGCAGTGATAACGATCTGAGGCGCAGGCTCGGTAGCCACAGTCACATGCCTTCTGATTTTCACGCTGAAATATCTGCGTAAGCACCACTCGCAGCTGGGCCCAAAACCCTCCTCGCTGAATCAACACCCTAACCTCACGTAGAAGGATAAGTTTAATACGTGCACGATTGCCCCGACAATCATGCAAAAAACTCCTAAACGCCCGGTTGCAATGAAATTCAAGACCCCGTCTTCTTCCTACAGAGTCTCGCAGTTCGAATGCTAACTCAAACCTACTTCAGAACCCGACCGCCCGTCTGTCTCCTGCCACACACGCAGAATAATCAGCCCCTAATATAGACTTGAATAAGGCTATAGACTTAGGGTTTGTACCAAAACTACCCCGACGGAAATAACTTCATACAGGGGACGCTCGTACCATGTCTTCAGACCCACAAGAACACTGCAAAAAGCAAAACTATGGCATCCCGCGAAGTTGCAGGAAGGGTCCCCTTAAGTGTGGCTCGACAAACATTCCAGAGGCCTCCATGCTGCCAAAATCCACATTCCTGAGCACAAGCTGCTGGGATGAATCACGTCATCCCAGCACCTCTGAAACCTTCTGAATATAACTCTGCACCTAGCGTTGAAGGTTTGGGACTTAACCTAAGTGCCGTTACAACTAAAACATGGTTTCGTGTCATTTTCTGCAGCATATTCTGTATCAAGAAACCTTGGGATACAAGGTTTCCGGGCTCAGAGCTTCGGGCCTCTCTCTCGCTCTCTCTCTCTCTCTCTCTCTCTCTCTCTCTCTCTCTTTTCGCTGTCTCTCTTGAGTGCTCAGGTTCCTCGTATCATCATATGATATATATGGGTGGTTGTCAAAATTGTGGTTCCTTTTTGGGTACCCTAAATAATAAGTGCCGTACTATAGTAGGGGCCCCAAAAAGGGAGCCATAATTTTGACAACCACCCATATATGTGTAGGAGCAGAGCAGAGCACAGGATGCTATTGAAACGGCCTCAAACCGTGAAAGCACTGGAACCTGGAGTTCCTCAGGTGCTGCTGCCGACAGACATCTGAGATTTGAATTGAGGGTTTAGGTCTCAAAACTTCTTCTTTAAACGCTCCCTGTCCGTCTGAAATCTTTTAGGGTTTGCAGTTCAGGAGTTTCGGGTTTAGGATGGTTCAGCGTATGGGAGCAGAGGTTAGCGTACAGGGTATCATTGGTATTTTGCGTACCAAATTCCTCACACTCCTGGTTTCAGTCAGCCTACAGGTTCAAAACCAGGCGCGCGGCAACATAGAATCCTAGTCCCTTTGTTGAGGAGGGGGTGCAGAGTGCATCGCCTCATGCCCGACCCCTCAACCCTAAGCCTTTTGCGTCCGGGCTCATCGCTGCCGGGATACCACTTCCTACGCTCAAAGGTATAAATTAGAAGCTGCCCCCACCCTGTAATAGTGACTATAAGGATTATAGTAGGGCCCTATTACATTCCTATTATACCACTATTACAGGGTTCTAAGGTATAGAGCACACCGAAGGTTGATAAACCCTCAAACTCTTAGCAACTTCGAATTACAAACTCGTTCAATTCTGCTCGACACCCCGAAGCCCCTCCCCGGTTCCCCCTCAGCCCCCATTCGGGTAGTTGTCAAAATTATAGTTCCTTCTTGGGTACCCTAATAAATATGAGGTGTCGTATTATAATCAGGACCCAAAAAGGCACCATGATTTTGACAACCACCCATTTATTGGCGAGACGCAGGCCACCCATGCCACCAATACTTGCCCGTGGGCTGTTCATGCCGCCAGGCAGTGCGTTCAGAAGGTTCTTGCCTGTCATGCGCTCCTGAACTTTGCGGGCACGTTTGGCAGCGTTGCTGTCGCATATATTCGGCTTTTACGAAGTTTCGCTCTTGTGTGGCTTCCGGGATTTGGAAAAGGGTGTCGGTGCTATCCTTCCGTACCACTAGAACCCACATGTCGCAGGGCCCATAAGCACACCCGAAGACGGATATTGGATCGGACACCGGGTGATGACAGCATGGTCGGGTTTAGGCCTCAAGCTCGGGAAGGGGTCCAGTAGAGGGTCTTGAGCCCCAAGCATAGACTTGAACAAACAATAAGCTTCATATCCCCTACCTGGACCGAGCCTTTTTTGGAGCTCCCTTACTATGATTTCCTGATATAAGTCCTTAAAACGGTAGGTTCTTTGGGGTCCAGGAAGTTAGGCAGTTCATCCTTTATTCACCTCTCTTGAAAGCAGCGGTGTTTAAGCGCTTTGGAGTCCTAGCAGCCTGATAGCTTTTCAGCTCAAACTTTGAATTTCTGGTTCGGAAACTCTACCGTAGGAGCCGTTTTGGTGGTTTAGGGATTTTGGACACCCTAAACTCTCAAACATGTTGCTGCTCGATTGGGGAAACGATGGTAACCGTCGCGTCGCACGTACTTCCAGCAATAAGCCCCATAAACACACAGGCCGGACCACCCACGCATACCACTAGGGTCAGGATCTTGCATGGCCATTTAGCAAGATTTACCTTTCGTATCCCACTCCCCATCTCCAAGAACGGCTTGAACCCTAAACCCAAACCGGAAACCCTGAACCCGAACGGAACCCCCTTCTAGGATGCCCAGTAACCTAGGAATAAAAAGTGCTCCCTTTCTGGTATTGGGCAACTTTATAAGGAACCCAGGACTACAAAAAGGGACGAGCCCACTGGGAGGCTTAGCCTTATAGCAACCTACTTCCTAACCCCTATACTAACCTCCAAACTCCAACACCACCCACCCCCAGCTCCTTGTTGGCCTCAAGGAGCTTCTTGAAAGGATCCTCCTTCTCAATGGAACCGCCCTGGTCCTCAAGGGGCGGTTTAGGGTTTCGGGGTTAGGCCTCCTCGAGGTCAGGGCTTCGGGCTTAGACCTCCGAGGGCTTATAGGGTTTAGGGTTTAGGGATTAGGGTTTAGGCATCCTTGGGTTTAGGGTTTAAGCTTCGGGGGCTTTGGCTTTTCTTTTGTGGCTGCAGTTTCTTCTTGCTGGAGGCCTGTATGGTGCTGCAGCAGCAGACACAAAGAAACTGAGTTTGAATTCACGGCTTAAGTTCAAGCAAGGTTTGCACTGTTGGGATTTCGGTTTAAGGTAGCAAAAGGCTTTTGTACAGGAAATTAATGCATCAGCACGATCTTCCGAAACCCACTTTGATTCGATCAGCTGAAACTCATCAACCGCTTGTCTCGGATGAAGATGTTGGGGTCCACCGGGAAGTCTTAGGGCGGAATGGGCATGTGATCATCTTGACTGCGGTAAATTTGACCATGCTTCCTTGCGGGTTAGGGTCTATAGGGTCCGGCTCCCTGAACAACCCTGAACTCTAAACGCCAGATCTAGCTGTAAAGACATGTGCCTAGGCTTGAGGCTTTAAGTCTCCATGGATATCTGCAATCATAGCTGCCTTGGAGGTTCATGGGTAGTTATTAGTAGGGTAGCTGTACGCATAACCCATAATTAGGGGACTTATAACTCCACTTATAACTACCCATGAACCTTGAAGTGGGAAGCAATTTCCAGGCTTGGGGCATTGTTCACCAAAGGCTTCGCTACGAGGAATACAGACAGAACTGTCCCAACCATGCTCTAGGGTTCCCGAAAAGGTCAATACCGCTGATCTAGGACTGTTTGTCCAACTAACGGAAGACATGTGTCCAGTATCCCTGAGGAACCTCTTTGTTTATATAGGGGGTTATAATACCCAAAAACCTTGTTTCTAAGTATGCTGAGCTCTCCGTAGGACCGGCCTTGGGCATAGTGCCCGCCTCGTTCGAACCAACAACTATGCCGTAGGTAGGGCCCTTTGAGGTTTTAGGGTTAGGGTTTAGGGTGTAGGGTTTCCGTGAACCTCCAAACCCTGCATCAAAATCAAGGGTGACCCTAGTATAGTACCCCAAATAGTAGGATCCTTCTCGGGGCCCATACCCCTAGTTGTCGTAAGCTCCTACATCAAAATCCAAAAGGGTGACCTTTACCATATTAGGGATCTTTTGTAAATAACACGGGTCCTTTTTATGGTAAATTGAATGAAACCCTTTAAAAGAAACCCAGCCTGGCCCAACACCCCTTAATTAAGGAATATACCTCAAATCATAAGGGGCTTCATATAACGATTTAAGCTATATTCCTTAAGTAAGGGAAATTGGGCTCTCTGGGAACCTAAAACCCTATAAACCCTATAAACCCTATAAATCCTAAACCCCAGGGTAACTTGAATAAAACCCTTTAAAAGGAACCCTAAACCCTAAACCCTATAGATCCCTTAAAGGAACCCTAGGGCCTCGGTGTTTCCTTATTGAAATGGGGCTCTCTGGGAACCCAGCCTGGCCCATGTTCATCTTCTCAGCGATCCAGCGCTTCTGGGTGGCTTCGACGAGTGCGTAGGGCAGGTTCCTGAGCTTGCAGCTGCCAGCTTGTCTTATTTAGGGTTTACCTGGGGATCCAAAAGGGTTCCTTAAAGGGATCTATAGGGTTCCTTAAAGGGGTCTATAGGGTTTAGGGAGTACTTAGAGGATGTCCTTTTAGGGTTTCTGGGATCTATAAGGGCTACTATAAGAGTACTGCAGCTGCCAGCTTGTCTTGTTAGGGTTTAATGCTTAAGGGTTTAAGGAGGCATGATGATTGAGGTCTACTTTGGTTTTCGGGAGGTGTTCCAATCCCTGCCATCCTAGCACTTCCGATGATCCTGATGGAGGCAGGCATGAGTGACCCGCTGCTCTGCGGACAACTGGCCGGTGTGCTGCGCATTAAATGCAGCCCACAGCCGGCCTGCCTCCGTCTCACGGAGTGCGATGTCAACGGCCCTGGCAGTCTCGGCGCCGGGTGTGGGGTTTCCCCCACGCCCTTTGGTGCCTTTGCCTTTCTGGCCTGCGGCGGCGATGCTTGAGAAGCTATTCGCCACCTGCCCCGCCACGGAAGGCGGGAGTGCGGCCAGACACTGTCTGGCCAAAACCATGAGGGACCCTACCGAGAGCTTCGGCAACTCGGTCAAAATGTGTCCCAAGGCATCGATATTGTCTCCATCTTCCGGGTCCGCGGACCCGGGGATGGCACTTCTCGCGAAGTAAGTGGGGTCGCGCTGATTGCGCCCACCCCTAGCCTGGCGTCCAGCCGGGCGTTCGCCTCCCTCACCAGGTTGAGCCATGCTCGTCTGGCCTGGGAAGCGAGTTCAAAATGCGCGCTGGATTCCAGGAAGAACCTCAGTGCATGCACTGTTTGGGTTTGGGGCTTACGGGTCTAAGGGTCTAAGGATCTATAAGGGCTACTATCAGGGGTCTTATTAGGGTTTATGTGTGGATCCAAAAACCTACCGTTTTAAGGGTTAGACCCTCTGATAGGGGTCATAACCTACCATTTTGTAGGGTTTGGGGCCACAGGTAATGCTTGTCTTATTACTTAGAGGATCATGGGACTTAGTAAGTAGGTTATAATTGGGGTTATAAGTCCCCTAAGTGGCCTTACTTACTAAGTCCCCTGCCCCTCCGAGTAGGGTTTAATTTAATGCTTAAAGGTTTAAGGGTTTTGGGTTTTAGAGTTTAGGGCTTACATCCAGGTTATTTGGAGCACCTATTAGGGATTGGGACGGATGGCGTACGTTTCAGTCTTAATCAGCTGTTATGATGTGATTCTACTGATTCTCCTGAAGAGGAGCAGCCAAATCACAACCTGGTACAGAACAACCACGCCTAGGATTGTTCGGCCTGCTTCCGGTTTGGGTCTGGGGTTTAAGAGCGTAGCAAGTGAGCAACAAAGATGCCATGATTGCAAAACCCACGACGAGAAGCAAACATATGAAAGTAACGAGCCCCCAAATCAGTCAGGGAGCCTAAATGTGGTAACAACAGACTTTCAGGGGTGTAAGGTTTCAGGGTGCGGCCCTTCAAGATGCAGTCCCCTTCGTCGCTCTGAGGCCGAGCTTCTGAAAGACACGGTCTAATCACTGCTAGCTTCGAATCTCCACAGCATAAGCCTCGAATTTCCGCAAAATCCTCGACCCTAAACTCGCTGGGCTAAAAGCCCCTTTGACACAAAATAAGTACTTTATCGGGGCACTGGGCCTGGACCCAGAGAGCCCAATACCCCTTAATTAAGGGATAAACCTTAGCCTCTTAGGGGCTTCATATTATGATTTGAGGTATACTCCTTATTTAGGGTTTAGGATTTAAGGGTTTAGGGTTTAAGGTATATTCCTTATTTAGGGTTTAAGGTATATTCCTTACTTAAGGGATCTTGGGCTCTCTGGGGAAGTTCAAAACCTGAGCCCCAAGCTTCTTTTCGCTTGAAAGTACTTGGAAGGGCAGGGGACTTAGCAACTGGTTATTTTAGGGAATTATAAGTACCATAACCCCAATTAGGGTCCCTTTTAGGGTACTTATACGTCTACTTACTACCTACTTACTAAGTCCCATGATCCTCTATATAAGTAGGAAGTCTTAAATGAGGATGACGTAGTGGTGAGGGAGGTAGCAAACGACGATAGTCTCCTTAGAATCGCTTGTTTTGTTTCATCTCATTTTTTGGTCTTATACACCCAAGAGAAGATTGAACATATCACTTGCATTGTGGTTCTAAGGAGGTAGTACACGATGGTTTAGGAAATCACTTCTGCCAGGCTGTTTACGGTGGGGCCTGATCTCCCTACTAGCAGTTACATGAAAAGGCAACAAACCTACAACAAATAAAGCAATCGTGGGAAAAGACATGCCACATCCGCCACGTTTCCATTTCAGTGCAACCGCAAGTGTCTGTAATCTCGCGATTTCAGGAGTATGTGCTACATCCCCTCATTCTTATCACTGTAAATTATCCGACAGCCCCACAACATATGTCAACACCGTTTGTTTTAACTCAAAACCCCTTGAGAATAACGAATGCCGCAGCCCGAATCAAGTATAGATTTACCCCACAGCCCTCTTGTTTGAGGCAGCCGGCAGTTCCATGCACCGTTCGGCGTTGAGGCGCTCTAGGACGGCAGTGTTGGTGACACCATTCTCGACCATAAGCCTGACAGCGTCTTAGAGTTTAGGGTTAGGGTTCAGGGGTTAAGGGTTTAGGGTTTAGGGTGTAGGGCGACAGGCTGCTCCAATGGAAGCGTCTTGCACGCAGGAGTTCATTCTTCTTTGGGCAATGTTTGCACTGTTGCACTGGGTACAATGCTAGCCGGTCGCATCAACTTCCATCTTGCAACATTCAACGGTCCCTTCTTTCTCATAGCCCGAAGGCCGTGCCTGAGCAGGCGATCCGTGTGCGTGCTCAACCCCAGCGTCCTCAGTTTGCATGTTTCGCAGACTGCACGCCGCGGCAATTTGAAACAGGAACGATGATTGCTCCAATTAGTCTGGTGGTGTGATGGTGCAAAGAAGAGTGCCGCTCGCTTAGTAGAACTCTCTGACATCTGTCATTCGCGAAAACTAACACCTCAAACTCTAAACGCATTCTCACCGTGAAGAGATGTTGCTAACAAGAGGCACCATGGTCTCAGCAACGAGCTCTACCAGCTTCGTCCTTGGGCGTCGGCAGAATCCCTTATGGTTTAGAGTTTAGGGTTTAGGGTTTAGGGTTTAGAGGCCCTTATACACACTGTGGCATATGAACTAAAGGGCAACTGTTCTAACTGCCAGGAAATTTATGAGCTTTCTGGGCTTCTAGCATTTACCTGGACCCCGAACGACCTACCTTTCTAAGGGTATATATAAGGAAATCCAAAAAGAGGAGCCCTACACCTAAACCCACATACCCCGAGACCCTAAAACCTTAAGTTTCTTAAAAGCCTCTGCAAAGCCGCCTCCGTTTAGGCCTTAACTAGGGGAACCAAGGCACGTACCTCAAAAAGGGGAGGTGTACGCATTTTTGTCAGGGTCATATCCTTCTTTGCATGGAAGGGCTTCGTTTCGAAGGTTTTTGAGAGTTGGCTTTAGGGCTTCGGGTCAAGGGTTTGGGGCTTAGCGTGCATCGGTTCTTTGCCAAGAAACCCTTGCCGGTTCAGAGTTTATGGTCGGGGCGTGCAGGATGGGTCAGTTTCCAGACGTGTATCTCTGAACTCGATCTGGGCCAACACATTCGCACTATCTGAGGTGTTTCAACGTCTTATGTGCGACCTCATATCCGACCCAACACGAATTCTATGAGAAGAAGAAGGAGGAGGAGGAGGAGCAGGAGGAGGAGGAGGAGGAGGAGGAGGAGGAGTAAACGGGACCTAGATCAACGCCATGTCCTCTCCGTCGTTGCCTTGATTAGCTCTTTTGCTCCTATGCACTGACAAGAAGGATGGTGCCGAAGGTGGTGATATTAGCAGTACTGGTAGAAGTAGCAGCAGCAGAAGCAGTAGCGATAGCAGTAGCAGTAGCAGTGGTGGTTGTCGTCGTTGTGGCCTTACTCGTCATCGCAATGATTATGATGACAATGACAATGGCACTGACCGATGCCTGGTATATATAATAATTAATGATCGTGGTAATCATAATGACAATGACGATGCCCATGGTAGCGGTGATATCAGTAGCATCACCAAGAAGCATGTTAATAGTGTTAATAGTTATGGCATTCAAAGAATCGTCGCATTGAAAACAGTTACCGCTACGGCAACCTAAGAGATGATAATATTGATACAGATACTGGTAAAGAGTAGCGACATTGTCAATACTAAATGGTAATGACATTGACACCGGTCATGGTAATGTAGTAACAGTAATGACAGGGGGTTCTTGGTTTAGGGTTTAAGGTTCAGACCCTTACCTCAAACCCTAAGTCCATGTGCAGCTCAGCTGCTCACTGTCAGCCTCCTCTCCTTGACCCAGGCCGTAGGCCTGGAGGGAAGAGAATTGTTACAGTGGGACTGATGATATAAATCCTGCACTACCCTAATGACCCTGGACTATGGGAATTCTGGTATATTTCTAGTAATGCAGGATTTATATCCCTAAACCCTAAGGATCCCTCAAAGCAACCCACGTAAAGGTACCCTTATAGATCCCTTTAAAGGATTCATATCATCAACCCTAGGGCCTGCAGGGTTTCGGCGGGCTCAGGACTTCGAGGTTTCGGTTTTGCGCCGCAGCTTTCGGGCTTTGGTGCCTCCTTAAAGGGCTCCTTCAAGGGATCTATAGGGCTCCTGAAAAGGGATCTATGGGGTTTAGGGTTTAGGGTCTACTTGAAGGCTCATGGGACTTAGTAAGTAAGGTTATAAGTAGGTTATAATTAGGATAACCCCACTTGGGGGACTTATAACCCCTACTATAACCTACTTCCTAAGTCCCATGATCCTCTAAGTGGTGGGTTCCTGGGCCACGGCCGTAGCACGTCGGGATCTCTCATCTTTTTAGAGGGGCCTTGATAACTAGAATAGGGCTCCTTTAAAGGGTTCCTCCCCCCTAGCCCCTTGAAGGGTCCCTATGATTTTTTCGGGTTCTACAGTGAAGCCGAGAAAGTTGGAACATGGTTTAAGGATTGTTAGTGCTGGGATTCCCTATACTTTACTCTAAGGGCATGAGGAAAAGGATGTTCCAACTTTCTGAAATGGCGGTTTCCGAAAATAGTGGACCTCAATATAGAATCCTAAAAAAGTAGGATCCTTCTTATAAGGACCCCAAAATAGGGTACCCTTAATTTTCGGAAGCTCCCAAATCTACTACCAGCTTGTACGGGGAGGGCATTCCACCTCGCATGGCAAGTTCATGCTTCTCTTTGCACAAGAGCGAACACGCATTCAGTTCTTCGTTGCCGCGTGCAGGAGCCCAAAAAAGTTTAAAGTTGCAGTTTTAAGAAGGTTCCATTATCCCAAAAGTTTAAAGTTTATAAACTGAGCTACTAAGAGTTTGGATTCTATGCCCAACACCTGAAGCCCAAATGTGCTTCAGTTCACTTCGAGCCTCGGGCAGTGATAGAAACGATGCCGTGCAGGCAGTACGTGAGATGTGTGTCTACGCACACCGGTACAGAGTTCGCTCTGGGAATCTGAGAAAACTGCCCCAATTCTGATGCTACCCGAAACTCCAAACGTTAAACTCTAAACCCTGAGCCCCCACAACTCTGAACCTAGTCGACTGAGATAGGGGCATCGGCGTTCACGCCGGAGATGTTGTTTACGCTGCTCGTCTTCAAAGCTTTCACCTTGAGCCTGGCACAACTCGCAAGGGGCATCTGAATCAACCTCATCTCGGGGCCTTAATGATTCATGGAGGTTCGGAGGCGTGTTGTAGCATTGCGGTACATTCATGTTAGGGCTGAGTTTGATTCAAGAAGGTCGCATTAGCTATACCCTAAACCCGACGTGAACCTGTCCGTTTCGAACTTCTTGGGTCTTTCCTTGCTGTGCCGCATACGCGACGGATTCGCACACTGCAGGGAGTGAATAATGTTGCTGTGTCCTCCGCTGTGTTACTGCCACAGGCGACTGTACAACAATAATCCCAAAAACCTATCCTACTTATGATAAGGCCCCTGGTCTAAATCCAAGGGTAAAAGGAGGGACCCTTAATAAGGACCCCTAGGTATATACCATTAATATGGCTATTATACCCATCATATAGCCCATTATGGGGTAGGGGTCCCCATTAAGGGTCCCTCCTTTCCCCCTTTGGTTAAACGGTATTATGAGGACTGGGGGGCTCTTCCACACTAAGGTGACTCGCTCCTTGCACTCGCTGTGACAGTAATAGCCAACCCCCGAGGCCCTAGGTGCCGAAATTTCGGAATCCAAAACCTACGTGGTTGATGATATAAATCCTGCACTACCTTAGGGACCCTAACCTATGGGAATTATGGCATAGTCCGTATTATGGGTAATGCAGGATTTATATCATCAACCGCAGCTCTCAAAACTCTAAACCCCAAGCTCCACAAGCTCCTTCACCCTAAACCGCCCATTAACCCACACCACAAAACCCTAAACCCCAGAAGTACGCAAGCAAGGACACAAACAATATTATCAAGTCCTATGAAGCCCGGGACAAATCCCGCAAAACCAATTCAAAAAGAACATCCGACAAGTCTCAAGCTCGAAACTCTAAGCCCAAAAAATCGAATCACAAAACCCTGAAGACCCCAAACCCTAGTACCCTTATAGTAGCCCGTCTAGATCCCTATAATAAGCCCGAAACCCTAAACCCCAAAACCCTAAATCTTAAAACCCTAAACCCAAAAACTGTATATAAAAATCCTAAAGCCCTAAACACACAAAAAAAAATCTCTTCAGTCCAGCCCGAGAAGCTCTTCCTCGTTGATGTCCTCTGACGGGGACAAACCGTAAAGCCTCGGAAGCCGAAGCTAGTTCTTGGTTGGGATACAGTAGAAGCCAGAAAGTTGGAACATGGCTTTAGGAGGATTAGTGCTAGGATCCCTTATACTTTACCTTAAGGGCATGAGGAGTCTGATGTTCCAACTTTCTGGCTTCTACTATAGGATTAACCATGTACAATTTCATTCCTTATTGGGTTCAAGTACCCAAAAAATGTAAACTGTTACGCAACGATGGCAAAGGAAGTCGATGGGAGGAATGGGTTAAGGATTTGTTGACGCTCATATCTCGCCAAGAGGGTTTTAGGTGCCTCGATCTTTGTTTTGTACAAGAGCTGGACATTGCAAGCTCAACGCTGTCACCTCAGAGTCTTTCGTAAGCTAAGTGTTACGGGGTTTAGAGTTTAGGGTTTCGGGTTAGGGTTCAGGGGTCGAGGATTTAGGGTTACGGGGTTTAGAGCTCAGGGTTTAGAGGTTTAAGGCTTGGGGCTTAGGGGGTTTAGGAACCCTTGGAACAAAGAAAATCTGGAATCAACTTGTCCCAATGACCCACCTGACTTCCTACAGGCTTCTTGGCCCCCACCGTTTGTGACAGGGTTTAGGGTTTAGGGCTTTAGGTCTTAGGGGAAGGGTTAGAGTTTGGGGTTTAGAGGGTGTAGTAAAGGGTTTAATTAGGATTTAGGGGACGATCAAACTTGCCAGTTGCAACTCCCCGAGAGCACGGGACATGAAGCAGTAGCTCATTTGCGCAGATCCCCAGAGCAAACAATGCCCAGACTTTGCGTTCATCAGTGCAGAACTACTGTGCTTATCTTGATGCAACAGCTCTAACTGCGAAAACTGCAATAATAAGATTAACAAGTCTTGGGACCGCGACAACTGCAAGAGACATGATCGCTGTAAAGCTGTCTAAAGGTTACCAGAAGTTGAGGCTTGACCGCGTTAACCTCAAACCCTGGACCCCAGTGCCCTAATTTCGGGCCCTGGTGCTGAGAATAGAGTTTTGGGCTTAAAGCAGCATAAGAGTGTTTGGAGCAGCCTTAAAGTAATAATGATTAAGACCCTACCCGAATCCCTAAACCCTATAAGCCCTGTGATCCGTAAACCCTATGGGTAGTTGTCAAAATTAAGGTCCCTTTTTGGGTACCCTACATAATAGGTGCCGTATTATATTAAGGACCCAAAAAGGGACCCTAGTTTTGACAACCACCCATATCACCAACCGTACTATATGCCCTCTAAAAGAAAAAATGTGTGTGTGTATATATATATATATATAAAATTCATATAAGACCTGAACCCCAAAAGCTGAAAACTTCACGCCAGAGATACTCACGAGCCGCCTCGATCTTCCTCTGGTGCACCATCCTGGGTTTAGGGTTTAACGGCAGCGGAGGCCGTAATGAAGGGGCCTGATTACTTAGAATAGGGATTTTGGGGAACTTTCATGAGGAACCCCCCAAAATAGGACAGGTCTTTGTTGCGGCCCCGATATGAATGAGCATGAATGAGCAGAACGAGATTCCGGAGAAATTTAGGGGCGGCTTGTGAGTTTAGCGTTTAGGGTCCGGGGTTTAAGGGTTTAGGTTAGAAGCTGCCCCCACCCTGTAATAGTGACTATAAGGATTATATTCGGTCCCTATTATATTACCATTATACCACTATTACAGGGTGGGAAGGGGTTGGGAGCTAGGATTAGGGGGACCCTTGGGGATATAGACCCTCTCAATAGGGCCCCTTTTAAGAGAGCCAGAAGTAGGGTTCAGAAGGGGTACCCTTCAAGGGGTCTCCCTAATAATACTACCAACTTGCAGCTGGAACACTCCGGGCGATGCTACTCGAGGAGGTGCAGGGTTTAGGGCTCAAAATTATCGACTTCTGCTGCCAGAGAACAGCCAGAAGTGTATCATTTAGGGTTTTGATTCGAAATCGTGGGCGACTGGCTTTGCATTTCTCCTGTCACATAGGAGCCTGGATAACTTCAACACGGCTTTGTCATGTACTATAGAACGGTTCTATTCAAGCGGTTACTATAACCCTTAAGCCCAAGCTGCCGCCCTAAGCCTCAAAACATGCAACAACAAGAAAGTTGCTAGCGACTGTTTCATAAGTCGATAAGATGTACCCTTAAGAACATCTTCTTTGAAACAATTCCAAGGCCCCTGCCCTCTTTAAGGCCCTCAACCCCTCTGTCCCAAATCCTGTAGCCCCAGCCCGTAAACGCTCAGCGCTACGCCCCAAGCACCCAAAAGCCGAGCATCTTCATCCGCTGCAGCCAGATGATGAAGAGGAACTTTGAGATGATATTCAGCACTACCCAGCCCATCCTGGGATTTTGGGGTGTAGTGTTTAGCGTTTAAGCCTCCTCCCAAACTAGGACGCGATGCAAATTATCTCAGGATTTCTATTGAAAGCTTGGCATTAGGACCTCCGGGGCGCAGCAAGACAACAGACGGCACACTATCGGCACGACCTAAACCCTGACCCTACAGACCCAGAAAGTTGTACCCAGAGAGCCAAATGCCCCTTAATTAACGAATTTAGTTCAAATCATACTTAATATGAAGCCCCTAATAGTTTAAGGTATATCCCTTAATTAAGGGGTATTGGGCTCTCTGGGTGGGACGTCAGCTCCTCCTGTTTTCGAGACCTGTGATTGCGCCAAGGCCCACGCATCGCGCTACCGCTTTTGGCTTGCTGGGTTTAGGCGGTTTCTTTGGTTAGTAGGGAATGGAGGAATGGGGTACAATTATGACTACTATTACTACCACTCTTCCATTCCGTACTAACCAAAGGTAAGGTTTGGTGATTAGGATGTTTCGGGTTTGGTGTTATACACAGGCACAGGACGCATAAATACATGAACCAAACTGATGTAGGAAATAGTGCCACAGGATCGGCAACATGCTGCATTGATTGAGGTATCTTCCTGACACAGCAACCTTTATCAACAGTGCTGGCACCTAGCATGAAGCAGGCACAAATGTGTCAGGGATTGATTTCGCGGCCTTTCAAAAATGAATGCGCGATGCCTTAGGCCCTGCTTCGAGGGGATGCCTTATACATAAATACAAGAGAATAAGTTTGTGTATATTTATGTATATATATATACACTATATATATACACATACACACACTTAATCATATACATGCAGACACACACACACACACACATACCCTAAACCGTAAGTCCTAAAGTTTACAAAGGATCCTAGTCCGAATATGGACGCCCTGCTCTTCTTTTCCGCAAGCCAGGACATGCAGAGCAGCGTGCATCGAAAGGTGAGCTGGGCACGTGCTCGGCCCTGGGTGGCAGCGGTCGCACTGCTTCCCAAAACGATCTAAACCGGCGATCGCTGAAAGGAGCCCAAAACCCTAAACCTTAAAATCTAAGGCAGTCGCTGCTTGCCCCCTAGATCTGGCTCGGCGGAAGATGCTAAAGCCCTCCAGGGCGGGTTGCAGAGACGTGACGACGTCTTCAAGGGAGCCTCTGAACGATCAGACACACTGAGCTCTTAAGTGCTCTGCAGCCTCCCCCGGATTCGGTGTGCCGAGCCTTTGAGTCTATGGTGCATCTGTTGCGCAACCATGAGCTCAAGGATCGGCACCATGCACCACCCTGGACCTTGCAGCCTTCAGGGTGCATCCATCAAAGACGGAGGGGAAGGAACTTTGTGCTCGCTACCCTCGGGAGCGGTCTATGCGAAGTCGTCTGGGACAGACCATCAGGCCCTAAAACATAAACCCTAAACCCTAAACCCCTATACCCTAAACCCTGGAGCACACACTCCAAACCGAAACCTGAAACCTGAAATCAACTGTACCAGCATGTCTCAAAATTCCCAGACACTCCCTGACCCGAGCACTGGACTGGCTTCTTAAGCCTCGGCAAAACTGCACCAGCTGAGACTCCAGAGAGCCGAAGACGTAGTAGGACCTAGGGTTCCTTTAAGGGATCCATAAGAGATCTACATGGTTTAGGTCTTAGGGGACTCCAATACCCATCAATTGAGGAAAAATCTTCAATTCCTTAAATTACTAGGGGCTTCATACTGTGATTTAAGCTATATTCCTTCATTAAAGGGTATTGGGCTCTCTGCGACTGCACAGAACCTCGTAGATTTGTCATGTAGCTCCAGGACTGTTAATGTAGGGGCCTTGACGAACAGACTACGATTTCGGGCTCCTTTAACCGACAATTAGAATCAGGAACCCCCAAACTCTACTCTAAAATTCGTAAGGCCCCTATGTAAGTATTCGAACAAGGAACCCCCAAACTCTATTCTAAAATTAGTAAGACCCCTATGTAAGTATTCGAATAAGGAACCCCCAAACTCTACTCTAAAAATATTAGGGCCCCTGTGTGTGGTTTCGGGCTCCTTAAAACTACAATCAGAATAATTGAGGAATCCCCAAACTCTGTTCTAAAATTATTAAGGCCCCTATGTAAGTATTCCAGCTGGTCTGCAGATGCCGGAGGCAGGCCCAAGGCCCCTGCACGAAACCAAGGACTACTTCCCAGACCCCCTTTGGAGGATCGAAAAAAAGAGATTACTAGGGTTCCTTTAAAAGGGTCTATAAGGGTAACTATAAGGGATCTATAAGGGTACTATAATGTAGGAACCTGATTACCCGAACTGGGGGTTCCTATAAAGTACCCTTAGTATAGGGCCCCAAATTAGGGGATCTACTTTCCCCGAAACCCTAAACCCTATAGATCCTCCCGGGGGTCTGGGTTAGCGTGAATTGTGAATTCACATCAGAACCCCTGGGCTCCCAAGGCAGAACCTAGAATCGGCACCAAGATGTGATGAGCATCCTTTGGGGTTTAGGGGTTAGGGAAGAGGGCCGATAAAGGTGTCAAGGGAGCCCGTTTTGGAGGTCAGATGTGCTGTGAACCCTCAGAAAACTCGGGGATTTTTGCTTCCCTGCTCAGCTTTGCTCACACCCCATCCCACCCACCCACTTCAGGCAAGCTGTCTCAGGCTGGCTGGTGAGCATCAAGACAATGACTCCATAGACTAAACACACCGCCGGGATCAGAAGAACGAAGACCTGGGATGTAGTCGAGGATAAAGCTTTAAAGTAAAGGACAATCAAAAACCTAGTTATGACGAGGCACCTCTAGAAAAGCATAAGTCATAAGGCCATACAAGTTATTTCCCGACATGCCTAAACCTATATCTGCGACCAAAGCTGCCTTCTCACCAGGTCGTCAAACCCAAAACCACCTACCGCATTACCATCGCATTCCAAACGCCAATTTTAAAGTCTTCTTAACACGTGTAGAAATACCAGCATCACCATTATAGTTACAGGAGAGGGCGGGAAAGCGAAACACATAGGTTCCCACACACAGCGCCCTCCTCACTGCCATTGTAGCTCTTACAACAGCCATACTACTATACTGCTGCCACTACGATACCCTAGCACTCCACAGCGCTGAAGCCCTAAATCCTCAAGACATCTCAAGACTCCAAGTCATTAACCCGCCGGCCACCCTACAGCCCCAAAGGCCGTTACAAGTATTCCTATTTCGAACCATTACCCCCAAATGCTGTTCTCTATCAACCCTTTTGCGTCCAGCCTGCAAAGCCTCTTCTGGGAACTAAATGAGCGCCTCTACCAACCCTAAACCCCAAAACCCCGTGTTTAAAAATGCCTCTGTGTGTGTGTGTGTATATATATATACATATGCACATATATATATATATATATATATATATATATAGACAGAAAGGTACCACTCTCTCTCTCTCTCTCTCTCTGTCTCTCTCTCTCTCTCTCTCTCTCTCTCTCTCTCTCTCTCTCTCTGTGTATGTATATATATATATATATGTATGTATACATATGTGTATATATATACTATATACACATATATAGTTTTCTTATTTAGTAAATTCAGTAGCGCGCCCCCAAATTCAAAGCGAGCAGCCCCCATGGCAGAGTTGGAGCTCCACTCCCGCTTCCGCCTGTGGGCCTCGGCCTTCTGCCATGGAATCATCGGCAGCCTGGGTTTTAGGGGTTTTGGGGACTTTTAAGGGTTCCTTATGAGGGATCTATAAGGGTTGCTGTAAGAATCATCGGCAGTGGGGCCTTTAGGGAGTACTAGGGGTTTTACGGTTTGGTGCTTACTGTAGGGTTGTTGGTGGTACTGTTAAGAGTTCCTTATGACGGTTTAGGGGCTTGGGGACTTTAGGTGTTTGGGGGGGGTTAGGCCTTTAGAATCATCGGCAGCCTGGTTTTTTTGTGGTTTTGGGTGACTTTTAAGGGTTCCTTTAAGGGATCTATAAGGGCTGCTATAAGGAAACTATACGGGTTTAGGGGTTTGGGGACTTTAGGGGTTTAGGGTTTAGGGATTAGGATTTGGGTCTTAGGGTCTAGGGCTTAGGGTTTAGGGTTTACATAAAGTCTTAGGGTTGAGGGATAGGGCTTCAGGTTGAAGGTTTAAGGCTTGTTTTTGATCCTTCTTCAGTGAGCAGACTATGACATTCAGTATAGCAAACTATACTGAACTTAGAGCCCTAGCAAAAATGATAAGTTTAGCTGTTTCTTGGGGATTATAATAAGCAAAGATTAAAAGTTATTTCTAAGTACCCCTAAGCAAACTCGTTGCAAGTATAGCCGAGTGAGCAGAGCCAAGGCAAGGAAGGAAGTGCTGTAGGTAAGCACGTAAGACCATGCCACCGTCGATCGGAACCTCTCGTCTTCAAGAACCAGTCCCCCAAAGCTTCAAACTGTCTAAGATAGACCCAATAGATACAAGTAAAGCCAAAAAGCCCTAAACTTCAAATCCTAAAACCTAAACCCTAAACCTAAACCCTGAACCCTAAAGCCTAAAGCTCTCCCAATTTTTCGCCAAGGAACTCGGGGGTGTCCAAGATGTAGTTCTCCAGGCTGGAAAGCTTCGGGTCGAAGAGCCCATAGACCTGGACACTTGGAGGTTCATGCGTAGTTATAAGGGTCCCTTTAAGGGTCCCTACAAAGATTCTATAAGGGTCTAGGGTTTAGGGTCTACTTGGAGGTTCATGGGTAGTTATAAGTGAGTCATAAGTAGGGTAGCTATACTTATAACCCATATTCGGGGACTTACGAGCCCACTCATAACTACCCATGAACCTCGAAGTAGCTCTAATAAAAGCAGGGTCCTTTAAGGGCTTTAGGGTTTGTAGCTCTTAATATTATAGTATTACTAGTTCATTGTTGGGATAGGATTAAAAAACTACATTTCTATTCCTTATTGGGTTTAAGTACCCATAAAAAATGTAAAATGTTACCCAACTATGACAAAGACTATGACTCTTCGCATAATGAAAAGGGCCTCAGTACTATAAGGGCCTGAATAGCCAGACTCTGCTTGTCTTTTCAAGCGGCCTAGAAGGGTTACTATGAGGGTAACTTTTCATAGGGTTCTAGGTCCCGTTAACGGACCTGGTGTCGTAGCATCTTTGGGGATCTCAAAACGGACCCTAGTTTTGAGAACTACCCACCTGGTTGCTGATGACGGTGGCGAAGGGCAAAGCGGATTGCTGCAGCGTGCCAATCAGGCCATAGCAAAGACCTTCGCGGCCATGCTCGGTGAGCTCGATGATCATCAGGTTAGACACCAATTGCAACATGGCGTTCGGAATGGAGCTGACAACGTCTTCGCCAAGGTAGAAGTATTGATTCCGCACCACATCGAAAGCAGCCAGAAATTGCGGGATTGCATCGAGCACATTCACCGAGACGATAGCGATGAGGATGGTCTTTCTCCAGCTCATCTGGAGAAAGGATGTCTTGTAGACATAGGTGGCCGCCATCATGACGCCCATGCCCAGCATGCCGAACATCCTCTCTTCTTCCACAACCGGGCCCAAAAATGCTCAAACCTATTTTAGATAGGCCAAACATATAAAACCAAGAAGCTTAAACTTCTCCCATTGACGATCTAAGAGTTTCCGAAAATTAGGGGTACCTTGCTGGGGGTCCTTATAATAAGGTTCCTACTATTTTGGTGTACTGTATTAGGGTCCCCTATTTTAGGGAACTCCCATATCTCCCATATGACACCCTTTTTAGGAACCCTTATAGATCCCTTAAAGGAACCCTTAACTAGACCTAAGAGTAACCTAGGGATAAAAAGGGTGCTCTTTTTGGGTTAGAGGGTGTTATAAGGGAAACTAAACCCTAAAAAAGGGAATAAGAGCCTACTCTGGGTCCTAGTCAAAGGGTCCCCCTACTTTGATCTGAGCGTCTGCTGCTGGAGAACTTTGACATGCGCCCACTGGCTCCGGACCATCGGCCCTGCTGTCGTCGTCAGGGAGACCAGAAACCTGGGTTTGGGGCTCTGGGGTTTTAAGGTTTTTTCTTAAGGGTTTTAGGGTTTAGGCTTCATTGTTGGGATAGGATTAAAACAAATGTACATGTTTAGATTCCTTATTGGGTTTAAGAACCCATAAAGATGTAAAATGTTGCCCAACTATGACAAAGGGTTTGGGTTTAGGGTTTTAGGGTCAGGGTTTGGCGGTTTAGGGGTTAGGGGGATCAGGGTTTTAGGGTTTAGGGTTAGGGGTTTCGGGGTTCAAGGGTTTAGGGGCTTTGCGGTTTATTACGGTCTAAGGAGTTTAGGGCTCTTGCGAAGGAACTCGATTTTTAGATGCAAGAACGTAAAACAGCACGGCACCGAGCCAGTATTCCCACTGTGGTATCTTGAACTACTGGGAAAGCTAAGTACTCACTATATTTCCCTAGAAATTATGCTCACTCAAACTAGGTCCCTCATCAAGTACCGAGAAACTGGACGAAGAAGGCGAAGAACAGAAGGCTCGAGAGAGCTTTCTTCCTGAGTTCCCTGGTAAGCACCGAAAAGTAAGGCAGGGTTTAGGGTTAAGGATACCTTTTTTGCCTATTAAGTCGGTATCGGGACAAAGCCACCCAAAACCGAAAAGGTAAAACACCAGCACCGGGCGACCTGGCTTCCAGACACGCCGCTGACCCAGACTACCGGTGTTAATGGGTGCTGATAGTGACCTTCGGCTTCTATTACTAGGTCATTGTTGGGATAGGATTAAAAATGTACACTTCTATTCCTTATTGGCTTTAAGTACCCATAATAATGTAAAATGTTACCCAACTATGACAAAGTATTATCAACCCCAACCCTTTTACACCTGGACTATGCACATGCCAGGAACCGAGGCGCCGACTGTGCTGTGGACTCGTGCCACACGGCTACCCCAGGTTGCAAAAACTGATCACCTGGTATGTACCCTAAACCCCCAACCCCCCAGACCAAGCTTCTGGACGAGGCCCCAAGAGCCCTTGATGTGGGCGCGGCTCGAAAGGCGTTGCGAAGATCTCGGTGGCTCGTAGACGCAACATACCTTAGAGGTTTTTCTAAGGGTTGCTATAGGGGCTGAGCATCATAGCCCAAAAAAGGTTAAGATGGATACGAAAACCCCACAAAATTCGGCCCCTGGACCCTACATGTCAACACCTCGAACATCCAAGATGCGGTCACTGGCACCATGCAGATGACTAAGACCAAGCAAACCGTCATCAAGCCACTGAAGGACAAGCCCCAGTCGAAGGTGCCCAAGTAGGCCTTACCCGGACTAATATAGGTTCCTTGAGAACTGGGAACAGCTTCTTTTGGTATCTTACAGTAACGATAAGAATAAGAATACAAGGTATTTGACAACTCGGAAAAGCTTCGTTGGGAACTATAACCAGAAGCTCATATTATAGTTGCTACAAGGTTTAGGCTGTATTTATTAGGGCTCATATTAAGAACCCTAGTAAACACCCCCTAAACCGCAAACCGTTGATGCGTCAGGCCTTGCTGTTCATGCAGATGCCAATGACCAAAGAGGAAACCAAGCCACCGGCCGTGCCTTACTTGGAGGCTCAGGGGTACCCAGAGAGCCCAGTACCCCTTAATTAAGCTATATGCCTTAAATCATTAAGGGCTTCATTTTATGATTGAATCTCTATTCCGTAATTAAGGGGTAGTGGGCTCTCTGGATAGTTATAAGTGGGGTTACAGGGTTTAGGATCCCTTTAAGGGTTTGGGGTTTAGAGTAGGTTACAAGTAGGGTTATAAGTAGGGTAACTATACTTATAACCTATGTTATGGGACTTATCGCCCCACTTATAACTATGCATGAACCTCCAAGTCGTGAGAACACAAGAAGCGCCAGGGTTCAGGGATAGAGTCTGGGGTCTAGAGTCTAGGGTCTAGGGTTCCTATTTTCGAATTGAAAGGACATAAGCTGTCGTGGGATATACCACCAAAAGTTCCTCCTGCAATAGAGAAGAACCCAGAGAGCCCAATACCCCTCAATTAAGGAATAGAGCTTAAATCATAATATGAAGCCCCCTAATGGTTTAAGGTATATCTGGGAATCCAGGGTGCAAACCATGGCCATGTTGGCCTTGATATGCCCGCGGCGCTCAATTGGCTCACGCTGGGAATACTCCTTGCATGTCCACTTTTTTCGTGCTGAGGGTTCAGGGTTTAGGGTTTAGGGCTCCGGGATGTCTAAACTGTCTGGCTTTACCGCAAAGACCAAGCCGAGGTCAGGCAGGCTGATTGCAACAGGGACCTTAAAGACTCATATCTGGTCTAAACTCCGGAGTCCTACGTCCTATGATTTGGGAATTGCCACCATACGGTAATCGTGCTTAATAGGGCTACTAAGTTTCTAAGGGCTCTTTGTATCCAACTTAAACATGTTGCTCAACTGTTGCTGCGTTCATGCAGTATCCGACCTAAAAAACTCCTGAACCCTAAAAAACTACAAAATCTTAAGCTCCTAAAGCCTAAACCCTAAAGGCCTTAAGCCCCTGCACCCTAACCACCAACAACCCCTAAACCCATGAGCCCTAAACCCGAAACCGCTCCTCGAACCTTTCTTTCTAAGGGCACCAAAAAAGCACATAAGCAAAAATTAGGGTAGGGATATCCCATATAAACCCCCTTATAATGAAGCCCAATAGGACAGGGAGATCCCCATAAAATGCTTATGCTTATGTGCTTTTTGGGTCCCTGATTTCTTAAATCCCCAGCCAGCGGAGCTTTGGGTGTCCAAAACAGACCCCCACCATTACAAGAGCTGCTTGGAAGGGCAGGGGACTTAGTAAGTAGGTTATATGTGGAGTTATAAGTACCCTAAATGGAGTTACCCCAATTTCTACCCTACTTATAACCTACTTACTAAGTCCCCTGCCCGTCCAAGTGAGCGACTAAAGGCGATACTGTGAAATGATATGCTTCACTTTTCAGGCCCATATGATACTAAAGTCTAAACCCTGAAAGCACCGAATGGAAGTCTTCTTAAAAGCGACATAATGCTAATTCCCCGCCGTCGCAAAAAAAAACTACATGGGAGTTTCCGAAAATAGGGGACCCTAATATGGTACCCTAAATAATAGGATCCTTATTATAAGGACCCCAAAATAAGGTACCCCTAATTTTCGGAAACACCCACATAAATTGGACGACTCAGGCGGCCAGAAGTAGGGCCTGACCATTCACACTGCCCAGCTGAAGACCTGCCGTCAGGATGAACATTGGGAAGATGTACCAATTCCTGAGTGTTCTTTGGACCGTTGAGAGTTTAGGCTTTAGGGGTTTAGGATTTTTCTATAGGGTCGCAAAAAAAAGAGCTTTCGTGATAGGTCGCACGTGGATGTAACGAGGTTTCACTCAGAATGGGTGTCTTTTTAGCGTTTTTGTTGGGAGGACTTCGTTCAGGATACCATGGCAAAACACAGAGCCTGGCATGTGCTTATCAAACTAGCTACTTATCCCTACAGTCCTAATCTAAACCCTCTAGACCCTAAGCCCTAAATGCTGACCTAAACCCTAAGCCTTTCTGCTTGATCTCAGGATCTTCTCGTCCTGAATCTGAGGGTTGCATGGAGGCACGTCCCAGTTGTACTCGCCGTTCTCGTATTGGCAGTACATTGGGGGAGGTTGCGGCTTCCTGAGCTTTTGGACCCTTTTCAGCACGGACTGAGGTGCCGGCCAGCGCCCACGAAACTCGTAGCCCCGTTTTAAGGCCAGAGTTCGAAGGGTCCAAAAGCTAAACCCTAAACCCCTGTTAGAGGCCGAAAGAATGACAATGTATGACATATCTAGTCTCAAAAGCCTTAGCTGAACTAAAAAACCCTACTGCCCTCTAGTAAAGCCTGGTATATATCCCACTAGACCACTACATTTCCGTAGAACCGTATAGTGTGTTCACCAACCTACTCAAACTTTCCTATCATGAAAAGCCGACTGTGCGGACCGTTGTATATACTAAGCTCTCTTAAATGAATACGGTCATTTACCCTGAACCTAACCATCAAACCCTAAGCCCACATCCCTAAAATCCTAAACCTAATCTTTAAACCCTCAAAACCTCCATGACTCACCAGTTCTTAGACCCTAAGCCCTACTTGGAGGTTCATGGGTAATGATAAGTGGGGTTCTAAGTAGGGTAACTATAGTTGTAACCCAAATTAGGGGACCCACTTCTAACTACCCTAAACCCCCAACCCTATAGAACCCTTAAAGCAACCCTACATATAACCCATATACCCTAAACCCTAAACCGCCCTAAACTCTACGCGAGAAGGGCCTAGCTTCAGACTCATAGCGAGGAGGGCAGCTGCCACGACGGTCCATGCGACCAGCAGCCAGGATTTCCTGTTCTTGCCACCTGGGTCAAGGCGGTGGGTTTATAGGGCTTAAAGGGTCTATAGGGTCTAGGTTTTAGGTTTAGAATTTGAGGCCTTGTTCTTTTGAGCTGGTTTTTATGTCTACCCAACCATCTGAGCTCATCTTTGGGGCTTTAGAGCTTAGAGTTCAGGGCTTCAGGGCTTTAGGGTTTGGGACTCTAGGGTCTAGTGTTGTCTAGAAGTCTGAAAATTTGCGGCAGGGCTTCGCTGACGGTCAGGGCTTTGAGATTTCAGAGCTCCGGGCCTGGGCCAGACCACGTCTACATGAGAAGACGGAAGTGGACAGGTAATAGTAGTTATATGGTTGTAATATGATAGTAATATGGTGGTAATATGGTAGTAGATGTTGGCTACATGGGAGTTTCCGACAATCTGGGGTACCATATTTTGGGGTCCTTATACTAAGGATCCTACTATGTAGGGTGCTATATTAGGGTCCCCTATTTTCGGAAACTCCCACATGAGAAGACGGAAGTGGACAGATGTTGGCTACATGAGGGGAGAGTCAAGGGAATAGTCAGAGAGGTGCCCAATTTCGGTCTGCAGCGAGTGGGCAAGCAAGGCAAGCGGCACAATTCTTCGCAAGGACGACCGAGGGGGTGCGCAATGGGGCAACCACAAAGGGGGGATCCTGCTTTCATCCTAGTTGCCGCCTAGCCGCAGATGGGGAAACAGTCGGATATCACGCCATATGGGAGAAGCAACACGTCTGGAAGCTTCATAAGTGCTGTAATGGAGGACATCACGTAGGAGTCCAGTCCCATATAGCCAAGGAAGAAACCTGGGCTCTTGTTAAGGGATTTGATATAAGTTACCATAATCAGGAAACCGTACTATTTACTGAAGATTCCTATTATGGCAACTGAAACTAAACTCCATAACAAGACCCAGACACCGTATGTAACCCCGGTGCATGTGGCGCTCAGGAAGGCCAGCATGAAGCCATTTATGACAATCCCGATGGTGCGAAACGTCCAGATACTGATCACTTCGCCACAGGGCTCCACCCCAACAGCGTTCTCAACATCGGGCTTGATGGCCTGGGTCGCTGTTTGGAAGGAAACAGGACCCCCCAATGCCCCTTTAATGGAGCCCTTATGGTCCTTAATAGTGGGTATTTAAGGTATATTAGAGGGAGAAAAGATCCTTTTGATGGGCTCCTTTTTAAGCAAGCCCGAACCACAAAAAGTCAAAAAAACTGACCCAGTGGCATTGAGGTCAGGAACTGATGGATGCGACTCCGACACCACGCTGACACCCTCGTGGCTCAAGTGGCTCAAGCCGGCACTGAGCGTCGTGCACTGAGAAAGGTAGGAATTGGCTTTCTTCAAGGTGCGTCCGTCGCCCGTATGCTCCAAGCTGCTCACATAGGTGGTGCCAGTGTGCTCGAATTCTGCAGCCGATTCCGGCGAGGTAGTGGCCACCGAATCCTCTTGGCCAATCTTCGAAAACAAACCCTTTTGTGTGCTCCCGTGTAACGATTCGGTAACTCAAAACACAAAAAAAGATCCCGAAGATTCAGCAAGTCCTCCTCAAGCTTTACAGGCTTCGACATGGCTTTGGAAGATTGCACTCCGCTCCGCGGGAAATCCTGGACGAGCTTTCTACTTGAGCCCACAGGAGCTATGCTCAATCACGAACTGCTCCGGTCAGGGCATGTGCGGCTTCCACGGATATAGTGGTCTTAAGAATCAGAATACGGTTTCCATGGGGGGGGCTTGATATCTCCCTTCGTACAAGAACAGGAATCCGGAAGAAGACGCTTCAAACTATTCAGACACTGTATTCATCCATGCTGTCCAGGGCTTTCAAAACGTTGACGCAGAGCTCTGGGTCCCCGACAACTTGCGGAAGTCCGATCCGGAAACCACTCAGCGAGAGAGGCAGATAGACTTTTGCTACAAGCAATAGACATAGTATCTTTAAGCATAAATTATTGTACAAGAGACCCGTGTCAGTTAGTGCTCGGTAGGGCATCAGAATCAGAAAAGGGATTTTGGATATCTTTATCGTACACAAATCGGGGAACCTTCGGACATGCTACAAATCCTTACTAGGTCTTCCATTCCCGCCACTATACTACACCCCCGAACTCTAAACCCTAGCAACCCTGAAAAAGACCGAACCCTCATTAAAACAACGTCGTAAAGCCCTAATAAAGAGAAAGCACCCATAAAATCGACAGCAAGCTCGTTCTGAGATCTACGGGTCCTGGTTGCAGGAGGGTCTTATGGCTATGTTCGAAATAGGGTTGAGTTTAAACTAGCTTTCGCAAGGGTGGCTCTGGGTTTTCATTTTGTTGTCTAGCGCTGTGCCGAATTTTGTCCAAAAGCGTCTAATAAAGGCTTCTTAGGGTGATTATAGCGGTTGTATCGGTGGTTCAGCAGGTGTTCGGTGGCAGCTTAACCCAAGATGCCATGGCAAGGGATATCTGATGACTAGCATGATCTCCCTGTGAGGGAAGCTTAAGCGCTGGAGATATCTAGCAATCTAGCCAAAACCATTACCGTGGTAACTTACATGGGAGTTTCCGAAAACAAGGGACCCTAGTATAGGGACCCTAAAAAGCCGAGATCGTGATAATAAGGACCCCAAAGTAAGGTACCCGGAAACTCCCAAATAGGCCCAGGATTTGCGGACCAGGGTCTCAATGATGAAGCCATCCGTGATGAGTCCGAAGCCCTCCACACTCAAGCTGAACCACAGCCTTGATATGGGAGTTTCTCAAAAAAGAAAGGGGCCCACCTATGGCACCATAAATAGTAGGATCTGTACTATAAGGACCACAAAATGCCCCAAAATCAGGCACCCCTATTTTCGGACAGGGTTGGGGATGTAGGCTGGAGGATTTGTGGTTTTAGGGTGTGTTTTGGAAGGAAATGCAGATGCAGCACTCCAGTACACTAGAGTGTGGGATTGGGGTTTGGAGGTCAGGGTTTGGGTTTGCGATTTCGTATGATTTGGGGTTTATGCTCTCGCAGCCGCGCTTAGCCTGATTAGGGCCTTGACATACGTAGTAGCAAGCACTTTGTCAACAAAAGCAACGCAACCAGGCTAGCGCCGGGCTGGAGTATAATCAGACTTCACCGAGCCGTTTACTGTGGCGTTGGGTAAGCAGTCGGCATGTGAGGCTTTGGTCGTCATTCTGCGGCTGCCACTTGTAATCCGCAATGTGGGCAGGGTCCCTTTCGCGGTCGTGCCGTACTACTTGGGGATCCAAAAGGGGCCTAATTCAAGGAACTACCCAGCCATGTGGTTTAGGATGTGGAGGAACCTGGGATCCCTAACTTGAGCTCTGCTTGGCTAGTGCCGGGCCAAGTTTCGTTTTTGTTTTGAGCTCCTTTTTTGTCTGCCCTTCGGGGACCAAGTTTCGTTTAGGGTTTGGGGTTTAGCGTTCAGGACCAAGTTTCTCAATTTCTCAGATGTCAAATCATGAGACGGGTTTCCAAAATCGGGGGCGATTTGATGTCTGTGTGTAGACGGGAGCTTCGCGGTAAGCTTGCGCGAGTCGAGTTGTAAACGTAGAGAGATCCTACCAGAATGCCGCGCCCACACTGCGGATTGAAGCCTGGAACGCTGGAACTGAACAACAGGCGCTAAGGAGGCCTAGGCCCTGTCAAAACGGAGAATTTCATGACATTCCTAGCCTGGTCTTGCCCAAGGATCGAAACTGAGCAGAAACTCGCAACCCGAACCTTGCGCCGCTTTTTGCACCAAGCAGCGGGAAAGGGAACCAGGTGACGATCAGGGTGATGGAGAGTTTGCGGAAGTCCGAGTCTCCACCTGTGCTGTGCATAGTCACTTGGCCCAACTTGGAGGTTCAAGGGCAGTTATAAGTGGGAAATAAGCCCTCTAATAACGGTTATGAGTATAGTTACCCTAGTTATAACCCTAGTCATAACTACCCATGAACCTCCGAGTACATTTTCGTCGAGGGAGACTAGTGAAGAAGGGTGTCGGAACCATGTCACAAGCGTCGGAGCCATGTCACCCTGCGGATCCGTACCATTGACTATCCTGATTATCTGAAGCATGCGAATACCCCAACAGCTCTGCGGCACAGCACAGGAGATGCCTCAACTCAACTCCTGTTGAGACTCACATTGTTTGGTGCGATGTCGAGCAGTATGATGCCAATGGCAAAGATCTCAGGCAATTCAAGGACAAACCGATGCCCGTGATGGCCAAGGTAACCCGGCAAGGAGAAGCGTAGTACTGGTGTGGCTGCTGCCCCGGCGACAGGTCATAATGGTGCCATGACAATGATAATACCAGCTATGCTAATACAGCGGGACCCATCACTACCACCTCCAACACTACCAACGCTACTCCACTACCACCACGACGACTACTGCAACTACTATACTAGCACTACTACTACCGGTCCTGCTACCACACGAAAGCTGACGACCGAGACCGGCTGCCACTACAACTGAGACGAACCCGACGACAAACACCACCAACAACACCTAGGGTGTAGGGTTTGCGATTTAAGGTTCGCCGTCACGTCGCGATTTCTTGTTCATAGACAACACTCCATGATAATGTCCAGTACCAGGCCCTGTACGACGAGCTTTAAGACACGACCATGGCAATCTTCAGAACCAGCGCCCGACCGCCGTCGTCATATGGGAGTTTCCGAAAATAGAGGACCCTAATATAGCACCCTAAATAGTAGGATCCTCGTTGTCGGGACCCCATAAGAAGGTACCCCTGGTTTTCGGAAACTCCCATATGTTGTCATCATCTCACCACCGTCGTGGCCATCGTGAAACAGACCATGCGCGTCGTCGCTGGAATCCTTAAGGGGTACTATAGGGTTCTATACTAGGGTCCCTTGAAAGGGTACTATATAGTCTCCCTTTTAACAGGTACTATAGGCTCCTATAAGCTATAATGCAGGGTCCCCTAAACCCTAATCATTCCGAGGCACTGAAAAGAGACTCTTCACCCTCGCTGTTCTCCTAGAGATCAGGAGGGGATCGCTTTTCGATCTTCCCTGAACCTCCGAAGCAAACTCTGTAAACCGGTTTAGGGTTTAGGGTTTTTAGGGTTTAGGGCTTTAGGGCTTTAGGGTTTTGAGTTTAGGGTTTAGGGTTAACAAAGAGAGAGGCTGCGAACCTCAGATCTCGGCCTTCAGCTTAGAATCAGAGTGCGGCGATGGCTGCAGGGAGGGAGCGCGAAACAAAGACCTGAAACCCCAAACCCCAAACCTAAGCCCGCAGACCTGAGCCCTCAACTCTAAACCCTTTTTTGCATCAACTCTAAACCCTAAAGCCTGGACCCCAAATCCCGAAACCTTAGACAACCCTACTCACCAAACTTCTCCACGGTGTTGGGAGGGTCGGAGGCGTCTCGTGAGAATCTCTGGGAGTCCTTGATCTGCAAGGCGTTGTGGTAGAACATGATACCTTAGAAGCTGCTCTCACCCTGTAATAGTGACCATAAGGATTATATTAGGGCCCTATTATATTCCTATTATGTTCCTATTATACCACTATTACAGGGTGGGGGCCCCTCCTAAATGATACCTCTGGCACCGTTTGGGGCTTTTGGCTTAGGGTTCCCCAAGCCCTGAACCCTTGACATGATACTAGTACCTTTTTAATGATTCCGCATTCAGAACTGGGACAAGCCTGGCGAGGTTGCGGCTTTTAGGCCTAAGGTTTGGTGGAACGTGCTAGCTTGGTAAGGTTTGGGGTTTAAGGCTTCAAGGTTGAGGGCTTAGCGCTATAAGGTTACAAATAGGATTGGGGTCTGTGCCACGAGGCTATGCTTGGGCCAAGCATGTGTCAACACCGTCATTGCTGAAGAGTGGTAGCAGACGCCAACTCGGCACATGGAGCAGTGTAGACCCCTACCTTAAACTACAAAACCCTACTTTTTTGTAGGTTCTTATTATAAACCCTACTATGGAATTTATAGGGACCCTACAAAAAAGTAGGTTTTGGTAGGTTAAGGTAATTGATAGACCTTTCCCCTACTGGGGATTAGGAAAAGGATTTTTAACATGAAACCCATTCCAATATTCAGCCCGATCATGCCCCAAAACTACGAACTCTACAAAACCGTCTTCCCTCAACCCTAAACCGGCTACCCTCCCGTAAACCCTAAACTCTAAAGTTCTAAAAAGCCCAAGCCTAAGATCTAAAATGGCAGAGCTGCATGCCAGGGAGAGCCCGAAGCCATACCAGGCAAAGCGGAGAGCATCTCCTGACAGCTTGCTTCACACTTCAGAGTTCTTACCTTTCGTTAGGCTAGTAGGAAATGGAGGAATGGGGTACAATTATAACCACTATTACTACCATTCTTCCATTCCCTACGAACCAAAGGTAAGAGTTGTGGGGTTGGGGGCTTAAGGTCTGGGGTTCAGGCTTTCTTGTCGTGGATGTTGCAGTTACATGTGCGACAAAGGATGAGGCGGCTGGCCAGGTGGTGTTGTCAAGGCTGACGTTGTTCTTAGTCTTGTCGGCAGAAACGCTGGCGCCCTCCAAATACAACTACAAAACACGCCAAAGTCCTCTTCAACCATCAACTCCGTACCCCGTTCCCTTCTAGAGGCCGAGATCAAAGGGCAAAGGTGTACTACAGTAAAAGCCAGAAAGTTGGAATATGATTATCCTAAACCCTTTATGGTAACTTATAGGGTATCCTACCCTGAAACCATATTCCAACTTTCTGGAGTTCCCTTTATTCTGAGAGACCTACAGCCCGTAACAGGAGACCCCAGACCTCCCTCAGCTTCACCCCGAAGCCCTCACTCCCAAAACCGAACTCGCAGTCCTGTGAACATCGAGGCCGTTCCTGGGATACCGGGGCGCCATAAACCCTAAGGCCGTAACCCTAAAACCCCCTTGCTATGGGATCTTTCAGGGTTGCGGCTTTTTTTCGCCTCCCCGGGGTTTCTATTTTGGAGATGCTCGGCGGAGCCGGAATCGAAAGTGAAAACACGGCTTGGCAGCGACTGTGCTAGGAGGTCCCCCGGCTTACACATGGAGCCCCAGCGATAGCAAAGAAGCCAACTCAAAACATCGGCTGTGTGCCGACTAGAAAACACTTCCAGGTCGCGTTTGTTCCAGTGCGAGAGTTTGGGTTTTAGGTTTCTGGGAAGGCTTTTGCCCTACTTGTCGGGTATCATGGGGAACTAACCTTTTTGGTTATAGAGGGATGATATAGGGACTTTACTACACAAAAAAGGTTATATAAAGGTTCCAGTACCTACTCTACCACTGGGTTGCTCCTACCGATACTTGCCAGCCTTCTGATAGTGTTTCGGCCGAGGCCACGGGCGGGCTTCAAAGTCTTCGGCTTTGGGCATTCGGGGGTCTGCCCAGAGAACCCGATATTTCTTTAATTAAGGAAGATAGCTTCAATCATAATATGAAGCCCCTAATGATTTTACGTATATTCCTCCATTAAGGGGTATTGGGCTCTCTGGGTAGGGATCCAGCGTTGGTAACGATATGCGACCCGATGACTCGTCATCTGCAGCAAAAGCTTCTCCGTAAGTCTGTCTGCAATGTCCGCTGGACCCGGCACTGGTGGAAAATCAACTCCCCAACCCTGCTGGAGCCATCTGTGACCAAAACGGCAAAACTCGCGAAATCGAACAACAGCCCTCTGACGAGCAGCGCGAAGCTTTCCCACAGAAGTGTAAGTACTCATTGTTTCGGCTCTGCATCGCGATGACGACTCGTCCGTTCGAAAGCAAAAGCTTTTCGGTTCTCGAGGCCTCTGGGCCCAAAACTATGCTCAAAGCAAAGGCCTGAGAGCGATAGGTGGAAAAGCTTGAGTGATAATGCACACGAGGCACCACAAAGAAGCACGGCCACCGAGATCAAGGGCATCATGAACCGGCGATAGCTCGGCACACGTGAACCTGTCGGGAAAACAGCAGGGGTTTAGGGTTTATTTGGGTTTAGGGTTTCAGTGTTGGGGGGATCTTGGGCTTGAGGGCTGGGTTGGGATCCTTAGTACCCTGATGCAGGTTCGGAGAGGACTCCGGACACTGCTGCGAGCCTGGGATCTCGACATGGACAGGCGGCTGCGAGTGTGAAGAGCTTGCTTTCCTTCTTCTTTTTGAATATACCCCCGTAGAACCATAACAAAAACACTATTTTCAATATTCACTTGGGTTTTATATGAACAAGAATAATTCCTAAGGAGACTACTTTTCTCAGGAAATGCAAATGACGGACATCCCGACAACCCAGAAGGATCTTAAGGACTTCGGGTCGCCTTGGGCACTGGGTTCAACGTTTCGGGTTGAAGGCCCATGCCCAGAGCCTCCAAAACTCCTTAATTAAGGAATATACCTCAACTCATATTCGGGATCCTACTATAACTTTAAGGTATATTTCTTGATTAAGGGGTTTTGCAAGCTCTGGGTACCGTGGGTGCCCAGCAATGGGCTGCGCGTCGTGTCGAGATTGACGGCCGTATGCACAAGCACAGTGAAGCAGATAGATTGATGGATTGACTCGAAAGTTGGACGCCTGTGTTGTGAGATTCGAGGCTGCGAAGTGGGCGCTTGAATTTAGGTTTAAAGCTTTCGAAGCTCTTAGCACAAGCTGGCTAGTAGTGCTTGAAGTTGTCATAACCAAAGATCCGACGGGGACTCTTCTGACCACTTTACAGCATTTCCAATGCAAAGCTGCCAAACACCAAGAGACCGCTTCTAAAAGCCCAAACCCCCGAACTTCAACCCGCAAAGACCTCCGCTAAAGTCGCAAGACAGCCAAGACCAAAAAATCCTTCTTCCTTCCGTCTTCCTTCAACCCCAAGCCCTGAACCCCGTGAGCCCTGCTCTGGTCTTCCCCACCTGCAAGGACCACCAGCTTCAGCTGCATGATGGGGCACGTTGCAATCCACTCCTAAGCCGAAGCACTGCTTCTGGGCGGGGGAGGAGGGGACGCAAATTTAGGGTTTAGGGGTTCGAGGGTTTAGGGTTTAGGGGTTAAGGATTCGGGATTAAGCCTAGCGCCCATGGTATAGGGTGTAGGGTTTAGTAGGCAAAGGAGGAGGAAACAAAAGACTGCAGCAGGCTAGACAGCAGCCAAGGACGGGAGCAGTAGAAGTAGTTCTCGCAGTCGATCCCAACCCCGCCAACCCGCCCGCCCAAGCCCTCGAGCTTCAGAAAACGCAGGTCTTGATTCCTCAGAGCACCCTCTGCACGTTGGTCCATCCCAAGCTCTAAATCCAAAATCTGAACCCAAACCACACAACCTCTAACCCAAACCCCTAGACCTCTACGCCCTGAAGCCCAAACTCTGAACCCTGCCCCCACCCTGGGTCACACTAAGGGCTCTCTATATATATATATATATATATATATATATATACATATATATATATATATATATATATATCTATGATCATACTGTAAGGATTATCCAATGCAACTGTTGCAGAGTGGGGGGAGTACCCCATCTAACTCCTGTAGGCCCAGCTTCTATCGGCCGGGACAAGTTGAGAGTGAAGTTGTTTTCGCGACCTGGTAAAGAAGGGTGTACGCAAGACAGGGAGCGTAAACAACTCTGTATAAGAGGATCTTCTTACAACTTTGTCAGTTCTCTGTGGTACCTGCAACAACGATGGATAGAAGGTCTCATGAAGATGGGAAATTTGCAAAGTTTCACGGGTCTTTGTATGATAACGTTCAGGCACCCTATACCGTAAGCCCTATGGTGTGGGACCCCCTCGACGTTCGCAGTGGCTTCAGTGTCGGATGCGCTCTGGCTCGAAGTTGAGACTTCGGCCCTTACCCGGAATCCTAACAGTTGAAATAAGGCCCCAAAAAAGCACATAAGCAAAACTAGGGGTAGAGATATCCCATATAAACCCCCCTTACAAGGAAGGCCAGACAGGTAGGGACATCCCCATAAAATGCTCATGCTTATGTGACACCAGCTCGGAAGGTATTGTGTCCGCAGAAAATGGGGCTGAACCCTACAGTGTGGTCCCTAGAACCCTGAACCGTAGAATCCTAGAGTCCTAGAACCTAATACTGTAGGGTTAAGGAAAAACAGAAATAAACCCTCTAACCCCTGAACCCTAAACCTGCAACCCAAAAAACCTAAACCCCTTAAAGTAAACTATAGTAGCCCTTCTAGAACCCTTGAAGGAGCACTTAAAGCAACCCCTAAACCTAGGTTCACCCTCAAACCCAGGAAAAGCCGGGTTTGCCTGGACCCTAAACCCCTATAGTAGCCTTACAGATCCCTTAAAGGAACCCCTAAGCCGCCCTTATCGAAACCCAAACCCCTCGAACCCTACAGTACCCTTTGAGCAACCCGAAAGGAACCCTTAAAGCAACCCTAAGAGCCGTACAGTACCCTTATAGTATCCCTGATTAAAGGAACCCTTAAACCGCCCCAAGACCCTGAATCCCAGATAAGGCCGGCTGTGCCACGCCTGGAAGGTCGAAGTCGTCAATGGCCGTGAGCTGCAAGATGTTGAAGAAGCCTTTAGGGTTCTCTTTTAAAGTGCAGTGGCCTTTAGGGTTTAGGGGTGCAGGCTTTCGGCTTTAGGGGGTTGAGGGTTTAGGGAGGTTTTAGGGTTTAGGTGTTTAAGGTTCCTTTAAGGGGCCTATAAGGGTTACTATAAGGCTGCTACAGGCGGGTTTAGGGAGGGTTTAGGGTTTAGAGGTTAAAGGGGATTTAAGGATTTAGGGCTCAGGGAGGGTTTCAGGATTTAGTGCTTAGGGAGAGTTCTTAATCTGAACCAAAACTTCCCTAAAGTCCTTACATACCCGCACACACCGTTTCCCTAGACCCCTAAGCCCGAAGAAACGGGCCTGAAGAATTGCCTATACAATTCATTCAGGTTCCTCAGTATGAGTATGCGACAATGCACCACCAAACCCTGCTCCAATGGATAAGGCCACGATATTCCAAACCTTTTTTTACCAAAACTTCAGCCCATGTACACAAAATTCCTCATTATACTACAACCCTTAAAAGAACACTATATGTGAACTACGAAGGCCCCTATATTAAACTATTTAACCCTAGCCCTAAACCCTGCGCCCTTTTAAACCCTAAAACCCTGTCCCCTCCACTGTTGTCCAAGAAGCCAGAGAAGAGGGCCACGGCCGTACTGATCGTGGCACAGATGGCGTGGCGCTGCTCTAAAGGCGCCTTCCTAGGATGCTCGAAGGGTCAGGTTCTTAAGCTTTAGGGTTAAGCGTTCAGGGTTTTTTGGTTTAGCACTTTTTGGAGTTGTTAACAGGTGTGCCGTTATCTGGCTTAAGGCGCCTTCCTAGGACGTTGTGAAGGTCTTCATAAGGCACTCCTGAGTTTTCACGGGCGGACCTTTATGAGGTATGTGTGCAAATACATTATAGATTAATATAACATTCCTATATATATATATATATATATATACACATGTATGTTAATGTAATGCAAGGTAAAGCAATGTTATTATAATGTGATGCCATGTAATGTAATGTGATTCCATGTAATGCAATGCAATGCAGTGTAATGCAATGTAGGTGCAATGTAATTATGTAATCAAGGTAACTAATGCGATTAATCTATGTACGTATCTATGTATCTATGTTTGCGTAAAAGTACCGAAAAAAACAAGAGAGAGAGAGAGATACAGAGGGGGTTCTGTGAACTGTTGTAAGGTCTGTAAAGAGCTTCACTGGTATGTGCCAAAAAAGCGTATATGTGGACAGACAGACAGACAGACAGACAGACAGACAGACAGAACAAACAGATAGAGGGATGGAGAAAAAGACAGCGAGAGAGAGAGAGAGAGAGTCTCTGTGTCTGTGTGTGTGAGAGCGCGAGCGAAAGAGAAAATGGGTCGCATCGGGCTTTTTTGCCTTCCACGAAGATTTTCTTAGGGTTTGCATAAGGTTCCATGGGCCATGGGGCTTGTTCATTGGGCTTGCGCTTTTGGGGCTCGGGGTCTTAGGTGTGGACACAATCCCCAGCGCAACTACAGCGACATCCAGGTCTGAAGTCTTGAGCTTGGACTTCTCCAGAAGCGACGGCAACTGTCACTACCAAATTCTGAAACCCCTGAATGCTGACAGGAAGCCTGCTTAAAATTCCCTGCTGTAAAACAACTTTCTCTGCATCCGGGTGCCTGGTCTTCCTGTCTATAATTTGAACTAGTCTGCTTGTTACTTGAAGCTTAAACTTGGAGTGGCCGCTTGCCACTTGAGCCTGAAACTGGGAGGAGTTGCTGGCCACTGGAGCCTTAAACTCGGAGCGGTCGCTTGCCACTTGAGCGTTAAACTTCGAGTGGTCTGTTCGCCAAGTGAGCCTTCGAACCACATAGACCCTAGCCTTATAGACCGGCCCAAAAGCCACCTCAAACACTGATTCGACGTCTAGTGGTGCTTGAGAGCCCCTTGAATCCACAAAACGGCTGGCGGTTTAGGGTTGCTTAGGAGTTTAGGGCCACAGGGTTTAGTGTTTTAGGGCGCAAGGTTGAGGGCTTGGTTTAGAGTTTAAGGCCATTGCCATAGCTTAGGGTGCAAGGTTCGAGGGAATGGCAGACGAGGACGCTGCAAGAGCTTCATGACAGTCCGTGACTGTTGGCACGACTTGGCAAAATAAAAAATGGGCTTTAAATGATGCTGAAGCTGTTGAATTATTTCTGAATCTGCTGGGACCGATTGTGATGGGGCCGCCTGCACATTGCACCAGACTTCTTCCCAAACACAACGTGCAAACCCGCACGTCATCCAACGGGTGGATCGTTCTCGGCTACTTCATCCTCTTGCGCCTGGCTTCGGCGGGTCTCAGGGCTGGGCTCCGAGATCAAAGTTAACGGTAAATGGCCTTTGACGGATTGGAACAACACGGAGATGATTATTATGTTATGGAGCCTCAAACTCCGAAACCCAGACATGAAAAACGTGGAACCCACTGCGGCTCCGGTCTGTCTACTGAATCCTGGCTTCTACGACCTGGAACATTTAAGGCTTGCCTTGCCAGGCCTTCTTCCTCGTACTCTTCCTGATCTTCCTGCTCTTCTGTCTTTTCGGGTTTCTCGGGTTGCTGGTTTTTTCTTCGATTTCCCTTCTTGGCTTGGACTCCTTGGTCTCCTCCCTCTTGGCTTCCTTTGCCTCTTTTGCTTGCTTTCCTTTCGGAACTCTGGTGTCCTGGGGGGCTGGCTTGTCCTCTTCCTTCACATCTTGGCTCCCATCCTCCTCCTTTTTCACCTGGTCCTTGTTTTTTGCCTCTTCCTTGGATGCTGTTGCTGTGTTTTTCTGAGCGCTGAATTACTTTTCTTTCGGGGCGCTGGCTTGTCTTCCTCCCTCGCATCTAGGCTCCCATCCTCAGCCCCCTCCTCCTTCTCGTTGTCTTGGGATTCTTCCTCTTCCTTGGATGCTGGTGGTTTATCTTTGAGTGCTGACTTTCTTTCGGGTGCTGGGGCTTTTTTGGCTGATGTCACGGGCTCCTTGGCATTGGCCTCGTCACTGTCCTGAGGTTTAGGGTTTGGATTTTTGTTAAGGCTCCGGGTCAAGGTCTTGGGATTTGCAGCCAGGGGGGTGTTTGGGGCCGAGGGCTCATGGTCATAACAGACAATCCTCGGACGGGGCGTCCACCTGCTTCTCGCTTGGCATGAAAGCCACCCTCAACCACGGCCTTGAAACCTGCCTAGGCCTGCGCAGTGGCAGCAGATGCCTACACTGTCGCATTCCACACAAAAAAAGCACAAAATTCCTAATCAGATCCTCAAACCGGTCACTGGTCAATTGTGCTATCACGCTGTGAGCTTCGAACCAAACTTCAACAGTGCTTGAACTGCCAGCAACACAGACCGCCGTTGATCTTACCAGACTCATACGCATGCTGTGTAAAATATCTAGAATGATTGACAGCTACGAGCGAAAAGGATATCAAATGTAAAGTCGATTGATGTCATAATCATCATAATCACGGCAGATGGCAAGCAGATAACGAACTGTCTAAAATGTGCGGAGACATGGAGGAAAGTTCAAACAGTACGAGGCACCAGGAAAAAGGCTCTGCATGTCTGGGGCTCATCCTATGTACGGAAGCTCTTGAGCCTAGGTTTCAACGGACAGTGCAGAGGCTTTGTAAGACTCCTGCATCAGCATGGCACAATCGTCGAACCGTCACCCCGCATCTGTCCAGTGTCATCTCAGTCAGGTGCAAGCATGGCAGAACACGAAATCCCCGGCCGAACTGGCCGTCGTATCCATTGGTGCTGCAACCATGGCATCAGGAATATCTCCTGATTCGCAGTTTGGAGCAGTCATATCATGCTGTGCAGCGCCTCGGTCCTGCACAACATTTGCACTTGCTGCTAAACTCTGTCCACGGTAAAAGCTTTGGTGAACGCCAGGCCCGGAGCACCGGCACCGCCACGCTGGTAGTGGACACTGCGCAAACGTCCGTGGGTTTCGAAGCAGTAACAGCAGCAACAACTGTAGCCTGTGCCAGCGAAGCGGTCGCATTGCGAAGTGTAGCATCTGACGTCGTTCATCCGCCAACTATCTGCCACAAGTCGGCGAGTCTTTTTACACCTTTAACCAACTCGCGCTTGCGTGACTCCTGTCCGGATTTGAATGCGGCAGCCGCACAAAGGCTGCAGGTGCCTCGATCACGAACTTCATAAATTCCTGCACGTCTTCCTGCTTGGCGCGGATGGCCTTGACGTTCTCAAGAAAGAGAAAGGACCTTCCCAAGAAAACAAGCAACAGCCCCCTGTTCGGGAGAGAGTCCCAAACACGGAAGACTTCCCGCGTGAGACTCGTACGATCATCTCCAAGTCCATGCTGGCTTCCCGCAGAACTCACACCCTGGGCATGGTACTCATGAGACCAACTTCTAAAACCCACAACGCAACATGCTATGCAAAAGTGATGTCCTGACATGGGAAGCCACATCCACATCCAGCGGCAAAGATATGTGGCGGACTGCGACCAGCACGATAGGTAACGATGTTCTCGCAGATCGGTCCTCTGTGTAGAAGGCCATCAGCCACGCATGCTTCCAAAACGGAACGGAAATAGTCGTCTTTTTCCACCTCAGCCGCTCGGGGCAGGGGCTACGACAGTTGCCACTGATTACTCAGACTCAGACACATACCTCATCAACAGCAGCCGCAACGAGGATTCACAGAGACGAATCACGCTGCCAGCCCGTGCAATTCCAAGGCATGCCAGGAAAGCAAAGAGGTGCATCGCCCAGCATTTTCAAGCAAGGCTTGCGCTAGTCCGAAGGCCTCATCAACTTTCTGGATTTTCCGCTTGATACCTGCACAATGATTTTAGAGACCGAGCACGAAGATCCACCACAGGTCACGTAAATCTGAGTCTGCGACTGTGCGGGGACAGTCGTCTTCTGCATCAGTCAGCCCGCATAAAAAAACACACGGCCGCTCCAGGCACAATGCCACATGAAGTCAGGATTGCCGGCCTTTCATCCACAGGCCTGCGCAAAGCTGTCGTTTTCTTGCAAATTTTCATCCGATGCCAACTCAAAAGACTGGAAACCAACCTGCGGAAAGAGGCGCGCTTGAAATTCCATGTGACCATGAAAAGACAGAGCCCTCCGCTTTCAATTTTGGACGTCCAGGACCATTTGTACCGCGAACATATCACAGCAACACTTTCAAACTTAGTTACCCAGAGACACGAGTTTTTGAAGTTGAGCTGCACGCGACGTGCCACGCGAGTTCGTCATGACGAAGGTGCCCCACAGGAATCCTCACAAAAAACACCTTCACACAAGATACAGGATAAAAGCAGCTAGCTATTAGATGATCATTGCGGCACCCAATATTTCACATTGCGTGTCTTGCTTTGAGTGACACCACCATGCGCACAGTGCCCAGCCGCTCACCGCGGACATCGAGTGATTTCATGGCTGCGCAGCAAGTGGCAAGACGACTTGATGTTAGGTTTGAATCGATGTGTGTTGTCGGACAGAACCTACTCGCCTGCAAATTGAAACCCGAACACCTTAGCCAAGACCTTGGACCCTATACGAAGTACTTCAACACTATAGCTACACTTCGTGGCATTCTGCTGCTGTTCACATCGCTCGCGGCTGTCCGGAAGGTGGCCGCACGAATCACAACTGACATATTGAAACAAATGACAGTGCCACACTGACTGGGGCATCGCATGGACAGGCCCAGGTCGAGGTCTGCAACCGCTGTGAGGGAGAGATGTCATGGGAAGTTTTCCTTCCTGCGGTCACAGTCACAATGGAAAGGGTTTAGGGAAGTTTAGGGTCTATGGTTTCGGGTTTCGGGTTTGGGCTTTAGGGTAAAACGGTTAGGGCCAGTCATACGGGTCTCAGCGAATTCAGGACATCTCGGAAATGGGAAGAGAAATGAAGCACACTGACAAACATACAATAATGATGGGGATAATGATATGATGGAAACGTGCGAAACAACGGTCCGTCTTCAGCAAGTCTGGGACCATGGCGAGGCAGTTCTGGCGCGACACTGTGTTCTGCACTGGCAACGTCCACTTCAACGACTTGCCTACGGGGGATAGCGCACATCACATGAAACGAATCAACGCCCTCCTCAAAGTGTCCAGCCTGAAATCCATTCCCCGGTCGCAGCACTCAGGTACTGGCCCGGTGCTTGTCCAGAGGCTGACATGGCATCCTGGTACGGAACGGAGTACCGGATCTGATTCGCAGGGTCCTGAGCAGAGCAGGAGAAAGCACATTCAGGCAATTAAGCTATGAAGTCCTAAGCAAAGCATGAGGTATATGCTGAGAACTCGGCTGTGATGCCACGCTCACTGACTAAGCCATCGGTGACTCTCGCCGTTGACGAGAAGCATCCTCGGTGCAATCAAGAAAGCCCGAATGTTTGATGCAGTGCTAAATGTTCAGGTCAAGGCTGATGGTGGACCAATGCTTCAGTGAAATCCTTGGCCCTGCTCTTTTTCAATTTCTTCTTGGCCTGGGCCACGACCTTGCCGCACAGTTTTAAAGCAAGAAGCGCATAGCAATCTAGGCGCCGGGAATCGATTTAGGGTTGGATGCACTGTGACTGAGGTGCACACCACTTTCCAATCCAAAGCCTTTGCCCTAGTCAAGTCCGCCCCGGAAGGGCTGGACTGAGAGGAACCTCTTGTTCAGAAAAGCAACACTTGCAAGTGCCGGCCAAGCTTTTTCATCCTTCTTTTCCCGTTTCTGCAGGGCAGCTGGGCGCGGCTCACGGATTGCTTGTCTGGTGGACCCAAGGAATGTAACATTCAGCTCAGAAATGGACTTTCGGAACTTTCTTCTTCACACGTAGCCCTTGGCTCGCAGAAGGCTTCTTCAGCAGCCTGATACAGGATTTCCCAGCTGAAACGGGCAGAAAGAGGTGGCAGCTGGCTTCTGCCCCACGTCATTCTTCACCCTGAGCCGTGACAGAAAGGCTGGGGTTGGTTTGACCTGAGAAATAAACCTGGCAGCTGGCTTCTTCCCCACTTCATTCTTCAACCTGAGCCGTGACAGAAAGAAACATTCATGGCTGGGGTTGTTTAGACTTGAGGAAGCCTGGCAGCTGGCTTCCGCCCCACATCATTCTTCGCCTTGAGCCGTGACAGAAAGAAACATTCATGGCTGGGGTTGTTTAGACCTGAGAAGGAAGCCTGGCAGCTGGCTGTCACCCACATCATTCTTCACCCTGAGCCGTGGTGTCCAAAGCTCGACATGACTTTCAGGCTGTGCCCATGCTGAGCTCCAAGACCTTCCTCATCATCATCGCTCAGCTGGTTCACGACCCCGAAGCATGGCATCAGCTTCGCGACTCTGCTGGGTGCTGGCTGCTGGACCAATGATTCAACGTGTTGATAATGATGCTTCGAGTTCCATAGCTCAGAAATATTTTCTGCAAGGGCTCACACTGTCACTCTGAGTCTGACCAATGCACGTTGATTCATTGACGTTTGACATACACTGGGCAGTGACACACGACTTGAAAGGCCACCATGCAACATGGTATGTATTCAATCACTGCCTGAAGGTGGTCAACAACAAAGAAATGTTCAATCAACTAACTTTCGAAGCTTAGGGGTGTTCGCTTCTAAGGTTTAAAGTATTTTGTGTTTGCCCCCTCGCACGACTCACAGAACTGGGGATCTGAGCAACTCGGTCAGTCTGATCTATACACAACTCACTCAAAAACCCTGAAAAGGAGCTGGCGCAAGCAAACCCTAAGCCTTGTTGTATGAGGCGTGGTTTAGCGGAGTCCTTACAGTCTCATTTCTTCTGATCCCTGGCGCGACTCACAGCACCCCATGTGGGGATGTGAGAAAGCAACTCGGTCAGCCTAATAATCTGCTTATAATACAGCTTTAAAGCCCGGCCCGAAACCCTAAAAGGAGCTGCCGCAAGCAAAGCCTTGTTTCAACGATGGTTTCGCTTCAAGGCTGTTGCCCCCGCCCAAAATGGAGCTGCTATGTGGCAGAACCCAGCTGGTATTCAATCAAGATCTAAACCCCTGCCGAACCCAGAAGACCAGGCACCCGGATGTAAGCCGGCACCCGGATGCAGAGAAAGTTCCTTTGTAAGGGCCTTCATAAATGTAGCACAAGACTTCGGGGTATGTATACTCTAATACAAACAAATATACAGGGAT